AAGTAGAAGAAACAGTGTAGACAAAATTGTGGAAGTCAAAATGGCCCTTGTTTGGGAGATACTTTCTTGTTTTTGATTACTACCTGGTAGGTAAGGGTGAGCCATTGAAAGTTTTATAATAAGGTAATAATTTGATCACAGGGTGTTCTAGGAAGTAAACTTAGCAGTGAGATCTTATTAGTATGGAGTATTGCTCATCAGGCGGTTGAAAGTTTGCATTTGAGCTCCCAGATGGGCTAGATTTGGGGATTATTTGTTCTGTGTTATAGTTTAAACAAATTACAGTTTCCTGCAGGAGAAACTGATGAGAGATGGACAGCCAGGGATTGAATTTGGGAGAATATTCTTATTAAGCGTGTTAAGAATAGGGAAACCATGGAAAGAATTAAGAGATCAGAGAAGAACAGGGTAATAGAATGTTTTGAAAACTTAGGAAGGAAAGTATTTTAAGAATGGGGTATGTACTGAAATCAGATGTCGCAGAAGAATCATGAAAATTGGATTTACAAAAAACAAAGCTATTGTTTTTAGAGCTTAGAATTTCATTGGTGACCTTCAGATGTGCTATTTCAGTAGTAGAGAAAGATAGAAACTTGATTTATGGGGATTAAAATGTGTGGTGAGAAGATAAAAGAAGTGATTTTAAACACTTGTTCAAGATGCTTGGCAGCAAAAAGAGTGTTCTGGAAGATGGAGGTCAAGCGGTTTATCTTATTAAAGACGGAAGATTTATATTTGAAGGCAGAAGAGAGTAGCTTAATAAGGCAGTGATGTATGATATTAGAGAAAGGATAATTGAATGAGGGTAGAAGATGGTATGAAGAAAATGGTGAGACACTATGCAAGTCTTAAAGAGAAACAAGGACTGTCTTTTCATCTGTAATTGAAAGGATGAGTGTAAAGACCTTTGAAAGGTAGTAAGTGAGGTGAGATAGTTTGTATTCTAATAACCTAGGGATCTACCCAGTCCATTCATTTTTAAGGAATAGGTAATGGCAATTGGGACTTGAGGAAAGTGGAAATGATTGGGGGGAAACTTGGAAATCTCAATTTTAACTATTTATACATGGACTTACAAACAGGTTAGTATTGTCACTTCCTTAGAGTGTTCATTTTGCAACCAGCTTTGCTTTTCATCACAAAAGCAGGAACTCCATCACTGAAAAGGAGTTATGAAGTATTGGGCTGGTTAAAAAGTTTGGGTTTTTCTGTAAGATGTTACAGAAAAACTCAAACAAAATTTTTGGCCAATCCAATAGTTGAAATCTATCCAGAGGTGCAGTCTAAGGAACTTTGCATCAAATAAATCAAAGACATGACAAACATGGTATTTAAGGGGGAAAAAAAACTATACACAATTGCAGTGATGTGAAGCTATGAAATATGACTAAATCTAGTTTTACACTATAAAATAAGAGGTTAAATGAAGTTAAGTGAGTTTCTTCTATAAGCCTTCTAACAAGTGACAAAAGTAATACTTTTAAAGATCTCCTAACTTCCAGTCTAGTTGTTCTACCATTTTGTAACTTTTCCTCTAGGAAGGTCCTGGATTTATGTAAACTGTACACATACAGTTTATGTTATAAAGAATACATGCATCATAAACAGATATAAGACCATTGTTGTATAAATATGACCTAAGATAATTTTTATAATAAAATATTTAGTTTTTGATAATTTTGTTTGCCATAGAATATAGATTTAAAATGAATATTTATCTGCCTTGATAGAAAATTGTTCATAAATATTACATTTTCTTTTTGCAGATTTTTTTTCATTGAGCAGAGGCATTCAGAATTAGTCCTGGCAATAGGCATATATTTGTTGTGAAGTTTCAGAGACAGTTTCAGTAACTTTAACATCACAATCAGTTATAAAGATGAAAATACATCAAAGAGCATTCTTAGAGTTATGTATGGAATGTATGAGGGAGGTCATTTTATGGGAAAAGGATTTGGGATCTGACTTAGTGTTAGAATTTTATGAAAACCACTGTCAGAAGATTTTTTTTTCTCCCCTTTGTCCCATTATCTCTGAGTCATTCTTCACCAAATCCTGTAGCAAAGCCTGAAGAGTAAATGAATGAAGGCAGGTATTTAGGCAGCCTTGGATGGATAAGGAGAAATATTATGTCAAAAGGTGGGGTGTGTCTGTGTACAGTGTTTTTTCGGAATTAATTTCTTTATAATCACTGTGTGCCATTCAGTATATAGGAAGCTAAAATTGTGTTGTATTACTCTCTCTTTCTTTATGTCACTGGCTTAATTACCTCATATTTTGTTTACAATATGTCCTTTTTATATACCCTTAACTGTAAAATTTGAACCTTGCCTCTTAGTGTTTTGAGTCAGTTGAAAAGTTTTCATGATACCCTTAGCCTTCTTGACTGAAAAAGATCTATTTTAATTGCATATATGTGAAAATTGCTCAGTCATGTCTGACTCTTTGTGACCCCATGGACTATACACTCCATGGAATTCTCCAGGCCAAAATACTGGAGTGGGTAGCCTTTCCCTTCTCCAGGGGATCTTCCCAACCCAGGGATCAAACTCAGGTCTTCTGCACTGCAGGCAGATTCTTTACCAGCTGAGCCCCAAGGGAAGCCCAGTTGTATATATATGTGTGTGTGTGTGTGTGTGTGTGTGTGTGTATATATCTTTATATATATTTTTTACTAGTTACAATGATTTTGTGTTTATTAGTAACTGGCTAGTTTGATAAATACTACCCCCTCCAAAGGGCTTCCCATGTGGCTCAGTGGTAGAGAATCTGCCTGCCAATGTAGGAAAAGATGTGAGTCCAATACCTGGGTTGGGAAGATCCCCTGGAGAAGGAAAAGACCACTCCAGAATTCTTGCTGGGAAATCCCATGGACCGAGGACCCAGCAGGTCTATGGTCCATAGGGTTATAAGAGAGTCGGACTCAATGACTAAATAGCAGCAACCCCCTCCAAAAGAAGAAAAGACCCTGCTTATTTCATGTGACCCCTTATAGCTTTATATTTTGTTATAAAGGGATTTTAGAGCTTTGTTTTCTAATTTTTTAGTTCTTTGTAAAAGAAAAGTAATCCCAGAGGTAAAAGATGAGCCTGTTTGCAGTTTATTAATACATAATAGTCATGCTTAACTTTGGGACCTTGGTTGTTTTCTCTTCCTCATTAGATGAGATTTAAAGGTTTGTTCTCGAAATCTCCCCTCATATAGGATTGGGGCACAATTAATATCACCTTGCCCCTTTTCATCCTTCATCTTGTATAAATACCCATTTATTCTGTATATGAGACTGCCTTCCTTTCTTTACCTGTGGTATCCATTTGCCTCATTGAACCTGATTAATACTGTGGTGGAAGGGCTAGACCTATATGACACATGGACAGCTGATAGTAGTTACTGGTTTCTTTCTCTTTTTCAAATCTTAGGATTTTCCTGTATCCCAGAAACAAAGTGACTCAGTTTTCCATTTCCCCCCACTTATTCCAGGTGTAAGACAGTGTGATTTTATTCCAAACTACCTATTGGATAAGTGTCAGAACTTGGATTTGAATCGTGGTGCTGTGGCTCTGGCCCATAATGGTGTTTGTCTTTTACAAACTGTTTCCTCAGAGATCTTATTGCCATTCTGTCACTTCTGTACAAATGACTCATGTATCTATATACCTTTCATCTCAACTTTCTTCTGAACCTCAGATCTCTGTTCCAGCTGTTCTTTTTTCTTTCCCCTTGCTTTCCTCATCCTGCCACTAATAAACTTGTCATCTTTCCTCAGAAACATTTCCTCCACTAGTTCTTCCCATTTCTTTAATGACATCTTCATTTCTAAGATTCAGAGTCTCAGAATCCTTTCATTTCCTTGACATCACCATGGTAATTCTGCAGCCTTTCCCCCAACTTCTTTCTAGTCTTGTAACCATGATTGTAGTTCAGGTCTAAAAGTTACTTCTTGCTCCACCCTGCTGCAAGACTAACCTTCCTGAAGCATAGCTCCAGTTCCATGAGTTTCTTTTTTAAAAAATAATTTTATTTATTTGTTTTTGGCTGTGATGGGTCTTCCTTTCTGAGTGTGCTCTTCTCTAGATGCAGTGAGCAGGGGCTCCTCTCTAGTTGTGGTGCTCAGGCTTCTTGCTGTGGTGCATGGGCTTCTCGTTGTGGTGATTTCTTTTGTTGTGGAACTGGGGCTCTAAGGTGCAAGGGCTTCAGTAGTTGGAGCATGTGGACTCAGTAGTTGTAACTCCCCGGCGCTAGAGCACAGGCTCAATAGTTGTGGCTCATGGGCTTAGTTTGTCTTTGGCATGTGGGTCTTCCCAGATCAAGGATGGAACCCGTGTCTCCTGCATTGGCAGGCAGGTTCTTTACCACTGAGTCACCAGGGAAGCCCCCATGTCTTTCCTGATCAGTCTCTTTCATGGCTGAGCTATAATTCAAGGGTCTCCACAATTGGTCTCTAGGTGCTTTTGTAGCTACATCTTCTACTATTCTCTTAAGTGTACCCTGAATTACAACCAGACTGTGTTACTCACTTCTCTAAATATAGCCTCCTTTGTCTTACTGCTGTTCTCTTCTTATTCCCTCTTCCAAATGTTTCTCCCCCTTTTCCCTTTTACTGCCTCATTTTCACCAGTATTGAATTTTTTTTACTACCATTAAGGTCCAATTCATACACCATTTCTTTTAGAAAGCTCTTTTAGTATTATACAGTTGGGGATATAGTATTTATTGCCTCCATTCCAGCTCCTTAAAGCACTTTTTCCTTTTCTGACATGTGCTTATTGGACATGTATATGCATGGACAATTCCTGTGTTATACCCTATATTCTAATTATTTGTTTACTTGCCTTTCCCACCCACTCCACCTCCATAGCAAGTTCCTTAGGAGTAGATTAGTTTATCTCCTACAACTCAACCATAACTCTTTCTTCATAGATGCTGAATATGTACATTTATTGACTCAAACATATATGAGGAAACCTTTCAGAATAACCATTATATTTTTGTTACTTTAGGCTTGACCGTCTTTTTATCTTGCTGGATACTGGCACTACTCCAGTTACAAGGAAAGCTGCTGCACAGCAACTTGGAGAAGTGGTGAAGCTTCATCCCCACGAGCTGAATAATCTGCTATCTAAAGTAAGAACTCTCCTTTCTCTTTTAGTATAATACAGTTGTAGAGATTTATCCATGGGTAAAAACATAAAAGGAGAGAAGGAAGTTGTCTTATTAGTGACAGTTTGTGGTCTTCAAATTCATTACATAAGCCCAGTATTTTCCCAGATATTTAAAATTTTTTACTATTTTTTTGTCATAAGGTTTAAAGTACTTTGTTTTTTACATCAAGTTTTTTTTTCGAAGGGTTTTGACAATAAAGAACCTTTGGCCTGTGGAACAAATTTGAATCTGATCCAGTGTCATAATGAACTAAGTTGTTAATCTAGTTTGTTAGTGGTCTAACTTGTTCTTAGCAGCTAATAATTATATCAGTTGACAGTCTTCAAATGATGAGTACTCATGGGTAATGGTGGAAGTATATGAGAAGCTTGTTGTCATTACGTTCTTAGTTATTAGCTCTTTGAAAGTGGAGGCTTTCTCCTTTGGTGGATAAATGTTTTCATAATCCTAGCCCATGTTCTTTCCCTAAGCAGTTGCTTTATTTTTACTGATTTCTGTGGTCTTGTAGAAGTGTGACTGTATGATGTACTCTGCTCAGTCATATCCAACTTTTTGTGACCCCATGGACTGCAGCCCACTAGGCTCCTCTGTCTGTGGAATTTTCAAGGCAAGAATATTGGAGCAGGTTACCATTTCCTACTCCAGGGGCTCTTCCCAACCCAGGGATAGTAAGCAGCAAATTCCATGTATTTAATTCTCTGGCATGCAAAATAAAAACAGGAGTGCTTGGTATGTGTGTTTAGTGGGAGTGGGGGCAGTGGAGAGCAGATGGGATGGGAAGCAATATGATAACCCAAATATTGGAATACCCAAGATATCTCCATTCCCATATTCCCACCAGTCTTATCTCCTCCTCTAGTTCTGATTTGTCCCTCCCTGATTCTTCTGAGTAGGCGTTCTAAGCCCTTGTCATCCTACACAAATCTGCCCTCTATTGTTCCTGTCATGGGGACGAACGGCAACTCTCTCTCCAACACAGTCCTCACTTAGATACTATCAGAACTTTCTAACCAAGACGTAATGGAGAAATAGTGATTTGACATCTACGGGTTCCATGTTCTCAGAATGAAGAAAGATGCACATTTGACAATACTATACTCATGTGTTAGATGTGGGGATAGAGAGGCATACCCATTTCTTCTCATCCCAAGGGAAGAGATGGAGGACTGAATGAACTGAGACTATAAACAATGAATAAGACTAACCTCTGCCGAACTGAGAAAAAGTTTCCAGCCTTCCAAGTGAGTTCTGTCCTTCTTAACTCAGACCCCACCATTTGACTGCCATCAACTAATTTTAAAAGAGGCAAAGTTTGTTTTTAGCACTTTCTCATCTCCTATCCCCTCGCTGCCCACAGTGTTTTCCTATTGCCTTTGGTTTTATTTTTGTGAAAAATCGCTTTATTGAATAGATTTTATATACCATGTAATTCATCCAGATAAAGTGTAGAATTCAGGGATTTTTAGTATATCCACAGATACATGCAACTGTCACCACAATCTAATTTTAAATCATTTTTGTGTGCTAAGTCACTTCAGTTGTGTCCTACTCTTGGCAACCCTATGGACTGTAGCCCACCAGGGTGCTCTTTCCATGGGATTCTCCAGGCAAGAATACTAGAGTGGGTTACCATACCCTCCTCCAGGGGATCTTCCCTACCCAGGGACCAAACCCGTGGCTCCTGCTTTATAGGCAGATTCTTAACCACTGAGCCATCGGGGAAGCCCTGAAACATTTTTGTCTCCCTTAAAAGAAACCTCATGCCAATCACTCTCTATCATTCTCCCTTCCATACCCAGTCCTAGGCAATCACTAATCCAGTCTGTTTATAGACTTGCTTGTTTTGAACATTTTATATTAAATATGTGGCATTTTGTGATTGTTTTTTCACTTAAATGTTATTTTCAAGGTTCTTTCATACTGTGTGTGCTAAGTCACTTCAGTTGTGTGCAGCTCTTTGCGACCCAGTGGACTGTAGCCTGCCAGGCTCCTGTCCATGGGGTTCTCCAGGCAAGAATACTGGAGTGAGTTGTCATGCCCTCCTCCAGGAGGGACCTACCCAACCCAGGGATCAAAACCCATGTCTCTTTATGTCTCCTGCATTAGCAGGCAAGTTCTTTACCAATAGCACCACCTGGGAAGCCTTCTTTCATATTTCTGCATATTTCATTTTTCATTCTTTTTTATTGCCAAATATCATTCTTTGTATGGATAGGGATAATGTTGGATATACCACATTTTATTTATTTCTTTATCAGTTGATGGACATTTTAGTTGTTTCCGCTTTTTGGCCTGTTACAAATAATGCTGCTATGAAAATTTGTGTGCAAGTTTTTGTATGGATGTATGTTTTCATACATGGGTGTATACTAGAGAGTAGAATTGCTGGGTCATATGGTAACTGTGTTTAACTTTATGAGGAACTGCCAGACCGCCTTCCAAACTGGCTCCACCATATTACATTCCCAACAGCATGTATGAGAGGTCTGATTTCTTCATATTGTTGCCAACACTTTTATTTTTTTAATTTTGTTTATGTATTTTTGGCTGTGCTGGGTCTTTGTTGCTGCATGTGGGCTTTCTCTAATTGCAGCAAGCAGGGACCACTCTCTAGTTGTGGTGTGCAGGCTTCTCATTGTAGTGGCTTCTCTTGTTGCAGAGCACAGGCTCCAGAGTACGAAGGCTTCCGTAGTTGCAGCTCACAGGCTCTAGAACACAGGCTCAGTAGTCGTGGCTTAAGAAGTTTAGTTGCTCCACGGCATGGGGAGTCATCCTGGACCAGGGATCGAATTTGTGTCCCCTGCATTGGCAGGCAAATTATTAACCACTGTACTACCAGGGAAGTCTCCAGCACATAACTGTTAAACTGACTGTTTATATTCATACCAGTGTGTATGAAGTGATACTATAGTTTTGATTTGCATTTTCATATGACTAATGATTTGAATGTCTTTTCATTTATTTATTGATCATTTCTGTATCTTGTTCGGGGACCTGTCTGTTCATATCCTTTGACCATTTTTAAGTGGGATATTTGTTCTTTTATTGATGAGATGTAAGATTCTTTATACATTTTAGATACAAGCCCCTTATCAGATATGGGGTTTGCAAATTCATTCTGCTAGTCTTGAGGTTGTCTTCACTTTCTTAATGGTATCCTTTGAAGCACAAAAGTTATTAGTTACAATGAAGTTGACTTTATCTTTTTTTAAACACATAACTTGTGTGCTCTTGAGATCATATCTAAGAAACCTTTGCCTTATCCAAGATTACAGAGGTTTATCCCCATGTTTTCTTCTAACAGTTTTATAGTTTTAGGTCTTATTTTTTAGGCTCTGGTGTATTTTGAGTTAGTTTTGTGTCCGGTGTGAAGTAGGGATTTTATTTTATTTTATTTTTTAATTTATTTTTGGCTGTGCTGGGGTGTTCATTGCTGCACGGGCTTTTTTCTGGCTGCAGTGATTGGGGGTTCCTCTTTATTGCGGTGCACAGGCTTCCCATTGCGGTGGCTTCCCTTGTGGAGTGCGGACCCTAGGCGCTCGGGCTCCAGGGGTTTGTGGCATGCGGGCTCAGTGTGTGTGCCCCCTGGCTCTCGGGCACAGACTCAACAGTTGCGGCATGCAGGCTTGGTTGCTCTGAGGCATGTGGGGTCTTCCTGGATCAGGGATCAAACCTGTCTCATGCGTTGGCAGGCAGATTCTTTACCATTGAGCCACCAGAGAAACCGTGAAGTAGGGGTTTTAAGTCATTATTTTGTTGCTGTAGCATCATTTGTTGAAAAGATCCTTTTTTCCCCATTGAATTGTCTTGACACTGTTGTTGAAAATTGGTTGACCATAGACACATAGTATTATTTTTGAACTAAGTTCTTTTCCATTGATCTGTGTATCTGTCCTGCCATCACCACACTGTCTTGATTATTGTTGCTTTGTAGTAAGCTTTGAAATCAAAAAGTGTGAATCTGCCAACTTTATTATTCGTTTTCAAGATTGTTTTGGTGATTCTGTGCACCTTAAATTTACATATAAATTTTAAGATCAACTTGTCTATTTCTGCAAAAAAAAAAATAATAAAGATGGGATTTTGATAGAAATTTTGTCGAATCCATATTCAGTTTAGAGGGTGAAAGTGAAAGTGAAGTCGCTCAGTCGTTTCTGAGTCTTTGCAACCCCGTAGAGTGTAGCCCACCAGGCTCCTCCTTCCATGGGATTCTTCAGGCAAGAATGCTAGAGTGGGTTGCCATTTCCTTCTCCAGGGGATCTTCCCTACCTAGGGATCAAACCCGGGTCTCCCACATTGCAGGCAGATGCTTTAACCTCTGAGCCACCAGGGAAGCCCAGTTTAGAGGGTATTACTATGCTAATAATAAGTCTTCTAATTTGGGTCTTCTTTAATTTCTTTCAATAGTATTTTGAATTTTTTTTTTTTTAGTCTTCAGTATACAAGTCTTGCACTTTTTTGCTTAAATTTATTCTTAAGTATTTTATACTTTTTGATACTGTTATAAATGAGATCATTTTCTTAATTTCATTTTCAGATTGTTGAAAGTGTAAAAAAATACAGTTGATTTTTGTACAATGTATTGGTCTTATATCTTGCTCTCTTGCTGTTCTTACTTTTCTAATGGTTTTATAACTCTTGCATTAAGTAATGGGACTTAGTGGCTAATATGCACTTTGCCTTTTAGTATGTTAAAAACTTATTTTTTAAATGCACTTAAGCATTCTTTTATTACATTTCCTATTTCCTTTTTTAAAAAGTTAATAACTGTATTTATTTTTGGCTGTGTCTGGTCTTGCTTGTGGCATTTGGGATCTTTTGTGGCGATGCTTGGGCTTCTCTCTAGTTGTGGCACAGGGACTCAGCAGTTGCGGCGCGAGGGTTTGGTTGCCACGTGGCGTGTGGGATCTTAGTTCCCCAGCCAGGGATTGAACCTGTATCCCCCTACATTGGAAGGTGGGTTCTTAACCACTGGATCACAAGGGAAGTCCCCTCCCCATTTCCTCTTTTTAAAGTGTAGTGATATTTCTTGTGACTGATAGAAAGTCTTATAAATGATTTTAATAATTGCAAAGTGTTTTGTATAAACTTGAGAGCTGCTAAATTAGAAATTAATAAGTATATTTGTGTTCCTCTCTTTTGACTATTTGAACAAACAATATTTTTTGGTGTGTAACTTTTATTTTACAATTTTTTAAGGTGTTGATATATTTAAGGAGTACAAATTGGGATACTCGGATTGCAGCAGGACAAGCTGTTGAAGCTATAGTGAAAAATGTACCTGAATGGAATCCCGTGCCAAGAACCAAACAAGGTGCTTTTAAGAGGAAAAAGTAGTTTGTAGTAAAAACTATACATTTTATGTTTCAGTAATTCCACTTTTAAAGGCTTAATTTTCATACTTTTAGGTGCAGTCTTGTTGGGAAATAAAATTGAACAAGGTGTTTTTTTCACCATGTTTTAAAAATTGTACTAGACAATCTCTTCTCATATATATTTTAAATTATTCTACAATATGGTTGATTTGCAGAGATTATTACTTCCCTCGAGGATTTAAGCCCTAAAAAATAAAATCAATCAAGTATAAATATTTTATACTTAAAACAGTCAAATTTTTCCTGTTGCTGTGAGAATAGGGTAGTTGTTTACTAAATTTAATAAGCACAATTATGTGTGAATATTTGGAGAGGTCAGTCTTTTAGTCTTTTATGCCTTTTAGATGTCTTTTAGTGGAAATTACTTGTTTTCTGACTGCCTGTTATATATGACACTTGAATGTATGCTTTTACAAATTTATAAAGTTACACATTTTAATTAAGTGAGAATTTAATATAGTGTAACTGCATTTAATTTTCAAGTCACTTTTAGTAATATGAGTTTTATCCTGTCTTAACTCATCTAAAATTTTTACTTTAATTTGCTGCACCTTTTATTTTGAAGGATTATGTTAGTTTGTCTTCTTTCATCGTAAGAAATACATAACCAGAAGAAGTTACAAATTGTTTTAAAAAAGAGCCATTTTCTTTCCAACTTATTACCCCTGCTTATTTTGGTATATAGAGATACTAGGACTTAAATTCTTTTCAAAAAAACTTTTTTTTCCCCCTTCAGCACAACCTTGTTAATGAAATCTTAGTTCCCCAGGAATTGAACCCAAGCCCATTGTATGACTACATGGAATCTTAACCACTGGACTACCAGAGAATTCCATCCCCCCAAAAAGCTTTAAATTTAGTTACACTAGCATTAAAATATATAGTATCATTAGTATCAAATATATAGTATTAAATATATTGTCATCATTAGAAAACATTAAGAAATTCATAGCAGTTCCCTTTCAGTTTAGCAATTATACTTTAGTTTGTAGAGAATTATACGCAAATGTCCAGCTAAACAAACTATTGTCAGTGAACAATTTATAGTATATATAAAATTATACAGTGGCATAACCTTTTTGGGAGGAATACAGAACATTTTATAAATAGTTTTAGGCCCCAGATAGATATTTAATTTTAGCAGTTTGCCAGGAGATTGTAATTTGCTTATATTAAGAGAAATGAGTCCTATTGATTGAGTAGTTCCTTTATGTCCTAGATATTCCTAGGTATAGGGAGTGATGATGCTCATTAGTGTTATTTATGAAAATTTATATGAATATGTTTATCTTTCAGTTTATCACTGATAAATTACCTTGGTATCTTTCAGCTGTTTAACAGATAACATGATTTTTAATATATATATTTCAACCTGGGGATATATTTCTTCATGTAATATTGTGCTTGTATAGTCAAAAAGTAACATACCCACTAACATTCTCATAGTTGTAGAAAGGGAGCCGTTTGCTAAATAGTTTTTTCATAAATAAGAACTGATCATAAATAAATCCACAATAGCTTTTCTACTTCCTCTACATTTTACTTTTCTTAAAATACTACCCACCCACCTGAAGTAATGCTATTTTCTTTCATTCTGCACTTTGGCTGTATAATCAAATTGAATGTTTTTAAACCTCATTTAGAAACTACTTCAGAAAGTGCTATGGAAGACTCATCTACTACAGATCGATTGAATTTTGACAGATTTGATATATGTAGATTGTTACAACATGGGGCATCACTTTTGGGATCTGCTGGTGCAGAATTTGAAGTACAAGATGAAAAATCAGGTATGTAGTAGTCCTGTAGAAAAAAAGTCTGAAATGTGTGTTCAAATCAGTTTGTTACTTGGTGTGCTATGTTATCAGTCATACAAAACCTAACAGATGCCATGAAATGTGAATTCACGGGTTTGCAGTTTAAGATGTGGGGCATAGGGAAGGTGACCAGGAGCACTTTGTCTAAAACAAATAGGAATATTTTTCATCCCCTAATTGAATATGTGTGCTATATATATACACACATATATATGCATCATTAATAGATACTAGTATGTCAGCATACATATTAATATTTTAGTATTTCAGTATAGAAATTGTAAAGTGGTACCCAGGAGCTTTAGTTGAGTAGATTTTAAAATCCAGGATTAGCACAAATTATGGTAATGTTTTCAGAATTCTTGAAATTTAAGAGACTATGACAGTTCTTTTTATCATATGTTTTAAATATTTAAATAATTGGATCTACTGATGCTAATAACCAAAGCAAAAATGAAAAATAAGTCTTAGATAGGTAATTTTCCCATTATCTTTAAACTTACAGAATCCATCTGGATATAAAATAAATGTTTTGGCCATTCAAGATTGATGCCTTGAGTGGAAAAAACCTTGATGTTTTTAATGGATTTCTGTAAGTAAATAAATTGTTTTTTTGACTTAAACCAAAACAGAACAGTGTTTTGTTGCTAATTAATCATTAGTCAAAGCATATCTATCTAGCTAGGTTAATGAAATGATCTTCAGTTTGTTCATCTTAAAAAAAAAAAAGTCAGATATTCATTTCCTCTTTCCTAATATGCTTTCTATTGAAAAATCTAGTGTAGTTATTTATGGAGAGAATAAAGAGGAGAATTTGCTTAAGTTCCAGAAAAGCATAGTTTTTTTAAATAAGGGAAGTAGAAGTCTTCAAAAACTTCACAATTTGAAAAAAATTATCTCTAAGTTTACTAATTAGTTTACCAGTCTTAGTAGTGTTCCCATAAACATCATGAGAGATTATTGACCCTTATCTAGGAGAAAAAGTCAGTGTGACTTTTGTCACTAAAAAAGAAAGTGTACTTGGGTCATGTCTTAAAGATTCTGATTTACTACATCTGTGGAGAGTTCTGGGAAATTGTATATTAAAAGAAAAAACTCCACAGATGACTGATATGTAAGCAGGATTGGGAACCCCAATTTTTTTAGAATTCAGTTTTTTTCCCCCTAGAACTCAGTTTTTAATGCTGATAAGTCATAGCATGCCGAAGAGTGCTCATTAAAACCCTCTAATTAGGTTTTCTTTAAATGTCTGTTCATCTGTGTTGATCTCTACCTATTTATAAATGACACGTACATGATTGGCATAGGTGCCAGTTTATTTCCTTTGCAGTTGTGTTGGTTATTTTCCCCAATAGAACTTTCCCTGAAATGAGAGGACTGATTTGGAGCTTTGTGAGTGTACTGAATTTATGATCCAGAAGTTTTCATGTTGGATGCCTAGTGTTTTTCCCTCTGGGGAGAGCAGCCTTAATTTTTTTTTTAACTATAGCTATGGAGAGGTATAATTCACATACCACATAAATCACCCATTTTAAAAGTGTACAATTCAGTGAGTTTTAGTATATTTAGTTTTGTGTAATTTTAGAACATTGTCCCTACCTCAGGAAGAAACTCCATATCCATATCTTTATCACATTCCTATTCCCCTATACCCCTCCTTTTTCTTCCCAGCCCTAAGGAACTATTAATTTACTTCCTTTATCTATAGATTTGCCTTTTATGGGCATTTCATATAAATGGAATCATGTAGTCTTTTGTGACTGACTTCTTTTTACTTAGCAGAATTTTTCCAACATTTATCTCTATTGTAGTATACATGTTAGTACTGTTTAGATTTTTTTTCCTAAATAGTATTTATTACTGTTATAGGGTATATCCATTTTTTAATTTTGATCAAATATAGTTAACATAAAATTTACCATCTTCATCATTTTTAAGTGTATAGCTCAGTAGTATTAAGTACATTCATATTGTTGTGCAGCCAATCTCCAGAACTCTTTTCATCTTGCAGAATGAAACTTTATACCTGTTAAACAATAATTCCCATCCCTTTCTCCCTCAACCCCCGGTCCCACACCGGCAATCACTGTTTTACTTTCTGTCTTTGAATTTGACTGCTCGAGGTACTTCATCTGAGTGAAATCTATGGTATTTATGCTTTTGTGACTGACTTTTTTCACTTAACATAATCTCCTTTCATGTTCATCTGGTATTATATGTGTCAGAATTTCCTTCTTTTTTAATAAGGCTGAATAATAATTCTGGTGTATGTTTATACCATGTTTTGTTTATCGATTCATCTGTCATTAGACACTTGGGTTGCTTCTGCCTTTTGGTTATTGTGAATAATGCTGCTGTGAAAACACATGCAAATATCTATTCAAATTCCTGCTTCCAGTTCTTTTGGGTCTATACCCAGAAGTGACATTACAGGATCATAGGTAATTCTATTTTTGATCCTTTTTTTTTTTTTTTTTAAGAACTGCCATACTGTTCTCCATAGTGCCTACTCCATTTTGCATTCTCACCAACAATCTATGGGGTTTTCAATTTCTCCACATAACTTTATCAGCTGTTGTTATTTTGGTTTTTGGTAGCAGCCATACTAATAGATATGAAATTACTTCATTTTCTGGCTGAATCACATTCCATTGTATGAATATAACATTTTGTGTATTCATTCATTGTTTAAAGACATTTGGATTGTTCCTACCTTTTTGGCTTTTATGTAATGCTGCAATGAATGTTCATGTACAGATTTTTGTGCATGTATGTTTTCATTTCTTCTATGTAGATACGTTTTGTTGACTATGAGGGCTACTCCATTTCTTCTAAGGGATACTTACCACACTAGTAGATATCATGGTCCTTTGACTGTGCAGATCACAACAAACTGTGGAAAATTCTTAAAGAGATGGAAATATCAGACCATCTTACCTGCCTCCTGGGAAATCTGTATGTAGGTCAAGAAACGTTAGAACCATACATGGAACAATGGATTGTTGTAAAGTTGGGAAAGAAGTGTGTCAGTGCTATATATCGTCACCCTGCTTATTTAACTTGTATGCAGAGTACATCATGTGAAATGCTGGGCTGGATGAAGCACAAGCTGGAATCAAGATTGCTAGGAGAAATACCAATAACCTCAACTATGCAGATGACACCCACCACCTTTATGGCAGAAAGCGAAGAGGAACTAAAGAGCCTCTTGAGGAAAGTGAAAGAGAAGAGTGAAAAAGCTGGCTTCAAACTCAGTGTTCAAAAAAACTAAGATCATGGCATCCAGTCCCATCACTTCATGGCAAACAGATGGGGAAACAATGCAAACAGTGAAAGACTATTTTCTTGGGCTCCAAAATCACTGCAGATGGTGGCTGTAACCATGAAATTAAAAGATGGTTACTCCTTAGAAGGGAAGTTATGACCAACCTAGACAGTGAAATTGAAGTTGCTCAGTCGTGTTCGACTCTGTGCGACCCCATGGACTGTAGCCTACCAGGCTCCTCCGTCCGTGGGATTCTCCGGGCAAGAATGCTAGAGTGGGTTTAGACAGCATATTAAAAAGCAGAGACGTTACTTTGTCCACAAAGGTCCATCTGGTCAAGGCTATGGTTTTTCCAGTGGTCATGTACGGATGTGAGAGTTGGACTGTGAAGAAAGCTGAGCACTGAAGAATTGATGCTTTTGAACTGTGGTGTTGGAGAAGATTCTTGAGAGCCCCTTGGACTGCAAGGAGATCCAGCCAGTCCATCCTAAAGGAAATCAGTCCTGAATGTTCATTGGAAGGACTGATGTTGAAGCTGAAGCTCCAATACTTTGGCCACCTGATGCGAAGAATTGATTCATTAGAAAAGACCGTTGCTGGGAAAGATTGAAGGCAGGAGGAGAAGGGGACGACAGAGGATGAGATAGTTGGATGGCATCACCAACTCGATGGACATGAGTTTGAGCAAGCTCTGGGAGGTGATGATGGACAGAGAAGCCTGGCGTGCTGCAGTCTGTGGGGTTGTAAAGAGTCGGACATGACTGAGTGACTGAACTGAACTGATGTAGATACCTAAGAATGGACTTGCTGGGGCTTGTGGTAACTGTTTTACCATTTGAGAAACTGCCAGACTGTTCTCCAGACTGGCTTCACCATTTCACATTCCTCTAGCAGGATACAAATGTTCCAATTTCTCCACATCCTTGCCAATGTTTGCTTATTTTTCACTGATTTTGACTATATCTATACCAGTGACTATAAAGTGATACCTCATTGTAGTTTTGATTTTCATTTTTCTGATGACTAATGATGTTGAACATATTTTCATGTGTTTATTGACCATTTCTATATCTTCTTTGGAGAGTTGTCTATTCATGTTGTTCGCCCATTTTTAAGTGGGATATCTATTCTTTTATTAATGAGGTATAAGAGTTCTTTGTATATTCTGATATAAACCTCTTATCTAATAAATGATTGACAGATATTTCCTCCTATGCATTATCTTTTCACTTTCCTGACCTTCGAAGCATAAAGCTTTTAATTTTGATGAAATCCTGTTTATCCTTTTCCTTTTGTTTCTCAAGCTTTTTGATATCATATGTTAGAAGTTTTTGCCAAATCTGAGGTCATTTACCCCTTTGTTTTCTCTAAGAGTTTTATAGTTTAACTCTTACTGTTAGGTATTTGATCTATTTTGAGCTTATTTTTGTACGTTGTGGGTTTAAGAGCCTAACAATTCTTTTTTTTTTTCTTTTTGAGGCTTTTTTATTTGGTTAATTAATTATTTCTTTGGTTGCACTGGATCTTCATTGTCAGGCAGAGGTCTTCTCTAGATGTGAGTGGGGCTCGTCTGTGTTGTGGTGCACAGGCTCCTCACTGTGGTCGCTTCACTTGTGTCAGAGCACAGGCTCTAAGTGCATGGACTTTAGTAATTGTATCACGCGGGCTGCTAGTGGCTTGTGAGCTTTAGTTGCCTTGTGGCATGTGGAATCTTCCTGGGCCAGGAATCGAATCCATTGGTATCCCCTTCATTGGCAGGTGGGTTCTTAAACACCGTTCCACCAAGGAAGTCCCTAATATCTTTTATATGTGGCTATCCTGTTGTCTCAACACCATTTGTTGAAAAGATTCTTTTTTTCCCCATTGGATTGTTTTTGCACCCTTGTCTGCAGACATGTAGTCTTATTTCTGAACTCTCAGTTCTATTTGATTGATGTCTGTGTCAGTATTTCATTGTCTTGAACACTGTTGCTTTCTAGAGGTAATTTTTAAAATCAAGACGTATGAACCTCCAACTTTGTTCTTTTTCAGGATTATTTTGGATATTCTTGGTCTCTTGTATTTCTGTACGAATTTTAAGATCAGTTTGTCAGTGTTTGTAAAACACCAGCTGATATTTTGATAGAAATTGTTTTGAATCTGTATAACAATTTGAGAAGTACTACTGTCTTACTATTAGGTATTCTGATCCATGAACAGAGAATGTTCTTCCATTTATTGAGATCTTTAATTTCTTAAACCAATATTTTTAGTTTTCAAAATATAAATTCTTAAGTTTTGCTTTTGATGTTGTTAGTAGAATTATTTTGTTATTTTTATATTTAAATCATTTGTTTCTTCAAATCTTCCTCCCCTTCCCTGTTCTTTAGATGAGGGACTTTATATAGCTTTACCTTTGAATTCACTTATACTTTGTCTTGTTATCTCAATTAAGTTGTTAAGCACATTTGTTGATTTAAAATTTTCAAGTATTGTTTAGTTCCAGACTTACTTAAAAAAAAACTGGCACATTTTGCACATATAAGTCACCCTTTTCAAGTGTATGATTCTGTTTTTAAAAATAGTTTGTTTCTGTAATATTACTTTACATTGAATATTGTTATATTAGTTGCTTAAAAATTTTGTCTTCCAGTTTCAACATCTGGGTTATCTAAGAATTGATCTCCATTAACTGGCTTTCTTTTGGGATGGGTTACATTTTCTTGATTCTTTGTACTTGGATTGTATTTCTCACATTGTAAATGTTTATACTGCAGGCTAGATTCTGTTTATTCTTCCAGAGAGTGTTTTGATTGGTTTGGTTTAGTTGTTTTTGCTTGCTTGTTTTAATAGATATTTAATTTGATGAAACTCAAATTGCAAACTCAGTCTCATTTGTGGTGGGCAACAATTCAAATCTCAATTCAATTTTTAGCTTTATTTGGACTATTTGAAGTCTGGCTGTCCATGCGTATTTCAGAGATCATCCAGAGATTTGGCTTTCTGTCTGGTTCTCTCCTTTCTGGGTTTTCTCTATTTTCCAATGGTTATGCTGTTCCTGACTCTCTTTCTTCTGGTTCTTTAAGCCAGACATACTGGGTTTTTGCACAACTTTTAAATGTAGGATATGACTGCCCAACATACCATAGACTGGGTCTGCCTTCAGGCTAAAAGGGTTCAGAAATGGGAAAGTCACTTAATGCCATGCTTTCTTCCAGACACTGATAACTCCTCCAAGTATATGCCTACTTTTGTTCTTTCCAGTGCCCTCAGGTGGTGGTTTACTTTTTTTTTTTTTAGCTAGAATTTATTATCTTTGAAGGGGTAGTCCAAAAGAACTTAGTCAGCTATTATTGGAAGATAATCATGATAGAAGCATATCTTGCAGCTTAAATATTTTAAGCCCAAATTTTTATTTTTAAAATGATACTGAAATATTGAGGGATTTTACTTGGAATATTCAAAATCTACTTTTATGCCTTTGTCTTTTATTTGGGCTATCAGATAACTAAATAAATAGAGGAGTGTGTCATTTCAGAATACTATAAAGGCCACACTTGGAATAAGCATGTATTTGTTGAGATCTTTTCTGTCAAATAGAGTCTAGATTTTTTTTTTTTAAAGCCTGGTTAGATATTTCAGAGTATGTACAAAGGGTAGCTATAAAATAATAAGATTAGTTTATCTTCGTAGGAATAGATCTCATTTTATATATACTTGGTAATTGATAGTAGGGCAGTAGGGTAACATCAGTGAGTGATATTATTCCGAGTGTTTTTGTTAGCTAGAATGCTGTTTTCCAAGATTTCAGTAAAATACTTGCTCTATTAGGTAATAAAGTTTATGACATGTTCAGCAATTGTGAGTGGTGTGGTTTATTATCAAGAGAGGTGTTCTAACAAAATTTTTTTTTAAATTTATCGAGTGATGTTCATGTATTAGAAAGCTTCTTAACTGATTTGAAGAAAATATATTTCTTTTTTGTTTAAAGGTGAAGTGGATCCTAAGGAAAGGATAGCACGCCAACGAAAGCTATTACAGAAAAAACTTGGCCTTAATATGGGAGAAGCCATTGGAATGAGCACTGAAGAGCTCTTTAATGATGAAGATCTGGATTATACCCCAACTTCAGCAGCCCTTGTGAACAAACAACCTGTAGGTAAAACCTGTGGTTGTCTGACTGCAACTAATAATACGGGGGATCTGCTTTTATTTTGCTATGCAATTGCAATTTAAAAAAAATGTGTTCCTTATTTCTGCTCATTGTTGCTTAGTATCACCATAATTTACTATCTCCATGAGTTGAATTTCTAGTAATAGGTTCTGAAGAAGTAGAAGGTAGTGTCTGCCTGCCCCATAGGTGCTAGACTATTAGATAAAAGCTGTGGTGGACCTTTCAGGAGAAATTGGTGTTGAGAAATCATAGTTGCACCAGTTGCTCTTTCCTTTATTCTTCAATGAAGAAAATATTTCAGAGAGTAGGAGATAGTAAGGGCTATCATAGATATGCTGATACTAGAAATCTTTAGAGCTGATTCTTTTGAGAAAAAGCAAACATGATGAAAACTTTCAAACAGTGCAAAAGGACATACGATATGAAGTAAGTTTCTTTCTGGTAAATGATGGACACACATTTCCCTGTGTCTCATAGCAACCCTTTTAAAATTATTTGTCTTTTTTTCCCTAAAATTTTCTGTGTATGCACAAGTCCTTTTTAATCCATGTCTGCCTGTTTGTGCGGGCTTTCAAGGTGACCCAGTGGTAAAGAATCCATCTGCCAATGCAGGAGACACAGGAGACATGGGTTTGATCCCTGCATCAGGAAGATCCCCTGGAGTAGGAAATGGCAGTCCACTCTAGAATTCTTACCTAGAAAATTCCACGGACAGAGGAGCCTGGCAGGCTGCAGTCCACGGGGTCACAAAGAGTCAGACATGACTAAGCATGCATCCACACCGGTCCATATATACAGACTGATCACATTGTTTTTTTATAGCTTCTTTCTGTTTGTGGCTGTACCATAATTTTGCTCTGTATTTTTCCTGTTTCTGTTTTTCTGATCCCCAATGGATGCCTGTGTGCTTCTTTTTTTATACATTAAAGTCTTCATAAGCTCCAGTAAAAGCTGTGGCTCTCTCTTCTCAGAAGAATGTACATACATGTGAAATATTACCTTTCAGGGGATTTAGTGCTCTTCTTGGCCTGCTTTACATGAGACCCATGTCTTCTCATTCCCTTGGCCTTCCCTTTTGCTTAAGTGGAGAATGGTTCTATTTGCCATTATTCTAGTTGTCCTCTAAATCATTAGAATTTGTAAGTAAGTTTTTTAGCATTGAGGAGTGTGTGATGATGATGATGGGACTTTTGTAGACAAGGAGGGAAAAAGAGCAGATTATGGAGGGAACAGTATAAAGAGACAGGAAATATAATAATAAACATGAAGGAACAGAAAGATGGAGTACGAATGGAAGCATGAGATATAAATAAAAAACAATAGAATAAAATAAATGAAGACAAACATGATTACAGGGTGGTAATTGGATACTGTGTAGGGAAATTAATAGGTAGGTATATTAGAGAAAATAGGCTATAGACAGAATAATTGGATAGGAGATGGCAGCAGCAAATTTGGCAGGATCCAAATTTGGTTGGCTTTAGATGTCAGGGACCTTTGGGAAGAGTTGCTGAGGTTTATTGTAGTTTTCATCACTGCTCCGTTGCCTCGTATATATGCTAGTGGTCCCTGGACCAGGTCTATAGCCGGGCACCAGCATCAGTGATGCTGACTGGTTGTGGTAATCTACATTTCAGTTGAATCTTAAATCAGTTAAGGGCAGAAGGATTTTTAGGCTTGTATTAAAGCATTTTTATTCACAGGCTTAATAATGTCTCCTATGAATGGAAGAAGGAGCAAAAGTGGTATGCAGTGAGTGGTTAAGAGGGAAAAACCAGTTACCTATCAGGTCTTCATTCTTAGTTGTGTCCGACTCTTTGCAACTCCTTGGACTGTAGCCTGCCAGATTCCTCTGTCCATATAATTTTCCAGGCAAAAATAGTGGAGTGGGTTGCCATTTCCTGCTCCAGGGGATCTTCCCAACCCAGGGATTGAACCCGGGTCTCCTGTGTCTCCTGCATTGCTGCAGAATCCTCCCTCCTGAGCCATCTGTGAAGCCAGTTACTTATGGCTATGGTTATTTTCATTTTTTCAGTAGAAGATGATTATAATTTTTTTAAAAAATTGACAATTTTTATGCTTACATTATGGCTTCCCTGGTAGCTCAGTTGGTGAAGAATCTTCCTGCAGTGCAAGAGACCCAGGTTCGATCCTGGGTCAGGAAGATCCCCTGGAGAAGGAAATGGCAAACCACTCTAGTATCCTTGCCTGGAAAATCTCATGGATAGAGGAGCCTGGTGGGCTGCAGTCCATGGCGTCGCAAAGAGTCGGGCACAACTGAGTGACTTGAGCAACTAACATGCTTACAACTTTTAGATTATATTATGGTTTTTTTAAAGTTTCACCTCTTCAAAGTCCTCATTGGAGTCAGGATTATACATTTTTGCCACATCTGTGACATAAAGTTAAGAAACACATGAGCTTTTCCTGGCAACTGAAGAATAGGGAAGAAGGAAGAGAGTGAAATTATGGTACAGCTATACAGCAGATGACACCACCCTTACGGCAGAAAGTGAAGAGGAACTAAAAAGCCTCTTGATGAAAGGGAAAGAGGAGAGTGAAAAAGTTGGCTTAAAGCTCAACATTCAAAAAACTAAGATCATGGCCTCTGGTCCCATCACTTCATGGGAAATAAATGGGGAAACAGTGGAAACATTGTCAGACTTTATTTTTTAGGGCTCCAAAATCACTGCAGATGGTGATTGCAGCCATAAAATTAAAAGACGCTTACTCCTTGGAAGGAAAGTTATGACCAACCTAGACAGCATATTAAAAAGCAGAGACATTACTTTGCCAACAAAGGTCCATCTAGTCAAGGCTATGGTTTTTCCAGTGGTCATATATGGATGTGAGAGTTGGACTGTGAAGAAAGCTGAGCACCAAAGAATTGATGCTTCTGAACTATGGTGTTGGAGAAGACTCTTGAGAGTCCCTTGGATTGCAAGGAGATCCAACCAGTCCCTCCTAAAGGAGATCAGTTCTGGGTGTTCATTGGAAGGACTGATGCTGAAGCTGAAACTCCAGTACTTTGGCCACCTCATGTGAAGAGTTGACTCATTGGAAAAGACCCTGATGCTGGGAGGGATTGGGGGCAGGAGGAGAAGGGGTCGACAGAGGATGAGATGGCTGGATGGCATCACCGACTCGATGGACATGAGTTTGAGTAAGCTCCGGGAATTGGTGATGGACAGGGAGGCCTGGCGATTCATGGGGTTGCAAAGAGTCGGACACAACTGAGCGACTGAACTGACTGATACAGCAGAATAACATAAATCTGTCAAAGAAGAATGCAGTCAGTTTGTATATAGTGAAACTTACAGACTTTAGTCCTCTTCTGAGGCTGAGACTGTGGGTATATATTTTAACTTCAGAAGTTCAAACTGCACATTCTTTTATTCTTTTAGACTCTCCAGGCCGCTGAACTGATTGACTCAGAGTTTCGAACAGGAATGAGCAATAGACAAAAGAACAAAGCTAAAAGAATGGCCAAATTATTTGCAAAACAGAGATCCAGGGATGCAGTAGAAACGAATGAGAAGAGGTAGTAATCCTTCTTTTGCTCATTTATATATTTATTTATTGTTGTACCATTTAATTTTTTTAAAATTGGAGGATAATTGCTTTACAAAATTGTGTTGTTTTCTGCCATACAAGAGTGTGAATCAGTCATAACTGTGTGTGTGTGTCCCCTCTCTCTTGAGCCCACCTCCCACCTCACCCCCATCCCACCCCTCTTCGTCGTCACAGAGTGCCAGACTAGGCTCCCCATGTTATATAGCAGCTTCCCACTAGCTGTTTACATATGGTAGTGTAAATACGTCAGTGCTACTTTCTCAGTTTGTTTCACCCTCCCCTTCCCCCGCTGTGTTCATAAATCTGTTCTCTACATCTGTATCTCCATTCCTTCTCTGCAGGTAAGTTAGTTTATCAGTATGATTTTTCTAGATTCTGTATATATGCATTAATATATGATACTTGTTCTTCTCTTTCTGACTTACTTCACTCTGTATAATAGGCTCTAGGTTCATCCACCTTACTGCAACTGACTCATAACTGTCCCTTTTTTATGGCTGAGTAATATTCCATTCTATGTGTGCATATATATATCTGCAACAACTTCTTTATATTCATCTGTCAATAGATAAGTAGGTTGCTTCCATGTCCTGGCTTTTGTAAATAGTACTGCAGTGAACATTGGAGTACATGTGTAATTTTGAACTGTGATTTTCTCAAGAGTATTTGCCCAGTAGTGAGATTGCTGGGCCATATGGTAGTTTATTCCTAATTTTTTAAGGAATCTCCATACTGTTCTCCTTAGTGGGTGTATCAATTTACATTCCCACCAACAGTGCAAGGAGGTTCCCTTTTCTCCACATGATCTCCAACATTTATTGTTTGTAGACTTTTTTGATGATGGCCATTCTGACTGGTGTGAGGTGATACCTCATTGTAGTTTTGATTTACATTGCTCTAATAATGATCCATTTTTTTGCTTATTTAAAACAGTGATGTTTGTTAACTTAAATCTTGGTCTGCTTGATTTCCAAAAACATTTTGATGACATTGCCTTTAGCTGTGTTTGGATTGTTTTGCTCAATTGTCAGGGAGCGTATTTACTATTACTAGAGACTAGGACAACTTCCCCAGGAAGATCCATATATGCAGATTTGTTTTCATAATAATTACAAGCTCTGAATGGGGATAGAAGATATTCCAAGGGGAGTGCATTCCAGATAAAGGGAACAAGTATAAATACCTAAATCATGTAATATTCAAGAAACAGAAAGGTCATATGGCTGGGGTGAGTAGACAGAAGTAAGAGTGTTAGAGAGTGAATTCAGAGAGATGGCCTGAGGGCTACAAGTTAAGACTGCTACTTTTGTAAGGTGAGAACTGTCACCGTATTACATCATCTGTTGCTTTGGCTGAGGGCTAAGCCAAATAGTAGGTAATAATGCAGGCTTATTTACCTAATCCTGTTGTAGGAAAGAGCTCTGTGGGTAAACTCACTGTCTTTACTTTCTTATATTCATTGTGGTTCACAGTGTTCTGTATTCACTTCTTTAAATAAATGGTGGCTTTTTTTTTTTTTAAAGCAATGATAGCACTGATGGGGAACCAGAAGAAAAGAGACGAAAGATATCAAATGTTGTTCTTAATCAGTCTGCAGTTGATTCCAAAGTTCTGATTGATAATATTCCAGACAGTTCTCCCTTAATTGAAGAGGTACTACTGAAATACCCTGAAGCATCCTTTGAAATCATTTATAATTTTTTCATACTAATGTGTTAGTAAATGGTATATAATGTAATAATCTGTTAATTGAGAGAAATTTTGTTATTAAAAATCTAAGTACTTTTTGTTAGTAAAATTTTTTGATTATTTAAAAGCCTGACTATTATTATTAGTCTTACAAATAAATACACTTAAATTATTAGCATAAAATAGATCTTTTAAATTAATATTAATTTGGTTTTTCTTACTCAGACAAATGAATGGCCTTTGGAAAGCTTTTGTGAAGAACTTTGCAATGACCTTTTTAATCCCTCCTGGGAGGTAGGATTTCTTCATTACAATTTCTCTCAACTGTTTTCTTTGCTAATGATAGGAACCATATCAATCATAATCTGTCTTGTCAGAGTCCGTATTTTTCCCCTATGTCCATCTCAGAACCACTTGTCAGGGCACTTCATAAAGAGTTGCATATCTCTCTCAGACAGTAAAAAATTTCCTTTGGAAATGGACAGTTTTGATTAAGACCAGTAGTTTTCAAGCGGTAGCTTAGCCTCAGAAATACTTCTTCAAAGAAGATCTTGAACAGGTCTCAATATGTAGAAGAGATGAAAGTGAAGTTCTGGTTGAAATTGAGGTTTGGTAATCTCAAAAGATTCTTTGGTTGGTCTCTGAGTAATTTTAAAACACTGTTTTGGAATACCTTTTAGTTCTAGCTTTACCTTTAGCTTTCTGCTACCAGATGTACTTCTGTTCGAAGCTGTTCAAGTTGTAACTCACATGGGGTCTTTAATAAGTGGGGGCAGTGGCAGTGGCATGTTTCCTCCCTTCCAGATGGCATGCAGAAGGCTTCAGGGCTACAATAAAGTACTAGTCATGAGATGTTTTATTTAAATTGTCTTCCTTTGATGTTTGACACTGGTGGCTTTGGAACTTAGTTTTGATGTATTTATTTCTAAAATATTGGTGTTTGGACTATAAAGAACATTATATGATGCTTCTTTTCTCTCCTTTGCTATGGATAATGCTGAATGCAAGTAGAGAGTAGAGGAGTGACAGCCAAGCAGATTACTATCTCAAAAAGAATTCAGAATAGCTATTTTTTTGCCTTTTAAAAAAATAAAATCCATATAATCAAACTTGTGAGATAAATATATGTAATTCTTCTTGGATAATAGAAGAAAAACAGTCTTGTGAAGTCCTACTCAGTTTGTTCCAATTTCTTAAAAATCTAGTATCCCTTTTTCATATTGAAGAAAAGTTAAACACTGTTTCTTAAGCATTTAACCTCTGATATTTGCTTCTTGGTTCTTTTTAGGTTCGACATGGTGCAGGCACTGGACTTAGGGAAATCCTTAAAGCTCATGGGAAAAGTGGTGGTAAAATGGGAGATAGCACTTTAGAAGAGGTAAGTGTAAGTGTAGTAAACCAAAATTATCATCAGATTTCAGTAGATATCCTCTTTCTTAGGCAGGAAAGTAGCAGAGCATGTGCCATGAAGTAGAAATGAGAGGTAAATAGTAAGAAATATGGAGGAGTGAACATAAGGAAAAAGGTTAAAAAATTAGGAAGAGGTTTATTTATATTATAGATAGAGAAAGAATGAGTTCAGGGGAAAGATATGTTCAGAAATATTGAGTGGAAAAGTATGTAGAAGCACTCATAGTTGAGCAGGGTATAATGGATTAGAATGTAGAGTAAGATGAATGAGCATATAATTTAAAGGTCAATAAGCAATATGACTGGTGTAACATGGAGTCAGTAGTAATAGGCTAGACAATAGATACTTTGGCCACCTGATGCAAAGAACTGACTCATTGGAAAAGACTGATGCTGGTGGGAAAGATTGAAGGCAGGAGGAGAAGGGGACAACAGACGATGAGATGGTTTGGTGGCATCTTTGACTCGATGGACATGAGTTTGAGCAAGCTCTGGGAGTTGGTGATGGATGGGGAGGCCTGGCGCGCTGCAGTCTATGTGGTTGCAAACAGTTGGACACAACTGAGCGACTGAACCGAACTGAATCGGTGTTTCGATATTACAGCAACCTTAAGTGGTTTCTCAATTTATCTGGGAGTGGAAGTAAAATAATAGAATTCATGAATTTTATAGATTTTGGTACAGTATATCTAATCATCAAAGAAGATGTGGTTAATATTGAAGATAGAAATTGGGACTATTCCATAGTTTGGTTATTGTTCCTACAGCTAAAATAATCTGTCCCAGTGTTTTGTTTTAGTTTGCTGTAATGGTTTAGTTTTAGTTTTTGGACCTAATACGTTTTAATATGTTAGTAAAAAGTGATTATTTTAACAGATGATTCAACAGCATCAAGAGTGGTTGGAAGACTTGGTTATTAGACTCCTTTGTGTGTTTGCTTTAGACAGATTTGGAGACTTTGTTTCTGATGAAGTAAGTATCTCCTAAGGGAGGCTTTACCCAATGAGATTTCAGATTCTTAAAATATATATATATATATACACACACACACACACACACATATATATTTTTTGCAAATGTGAATTTTCTTGCTTTCTCATTTTTAGGTTGTGGCACCAGTTCGTGAAACTTGTGCTCAAACATTAGGTGTGGTGTTAAAACACATGAATGAAACAGGAGTTCATAAGACTGTGGATGTGCTGCTTAAATTACTTACACAAGAACAGTGGGAAGTTAGACATGGTGGTCTGCTAGGAATAAAGTATGCTTTGGCAGTTCGTCAGGTAAACACTTCAGTTTTTGAAGCATGTATGGGAGAGTTTTTTCCCCTCTTAGTTTATTCTCATTAATTAAATGAAATGACTCTAGATTCTTAGTGTTACAGATGAGCCAGTCCTTCAAGATTTGCTTTCTTGAGGTAGTATCATAGAGACAGGTGATGCTAATAAGAATTTAAGTATGAATTAAAAGAGAATTATGCTTGGAAACCTGTTTCTGTTTCATAGCAAGACCAATTCGTGGTGAGATTTCTAGTGTATGATCACAGGAGTAGCCTTTGGGGGCTGACTGTGTTGGGGCAATTGAAAAGAGGGTAGTTTGGAGTAATGAGAAGCAGGAAGAGATGGCTTTCTTTTTTCTTTTCTCTCATATTCCCTTTGGTTGTCAGTGATATTGAAGGAGATAGAAGTTCAGGTTCTAGCACAGGAGTATATATGTAAGTGTATTCACATTGGGAATTCATGCTCCTGCCTTGAAAACATGTTCTGATGTTTCAAGTCACATTGAATAATGAAGTATTTATATTGTTATGTTCTTTTTCAAATGAGATTAATTACATAGGCATCTAATGACACTTTTTCATTTCTGTGTACATGATTCTTTTAAAATAAATATTGGAATTTATACTTTTGTATGTTAATTTAATAAAAGATTTTTAAGCACATCACTTGTACTATAGAAATTAATCTGGTTTGGTGTACTCTTTTACAGGATGTAATTAATACTTTATTGCCTAAAGTTTTAACTAGAATAATTGAAGGACTCCAGGATCTTGATGATGATGTCAGAGCTGTTGCTGCAGCATCATTAGTACCTGTGGTAGAAAGCCTTGTGTATCTGCAGACACAAAAAGTAAATATTTTTGCATTTTTTTCCTATAAAAAATGCATTTGTTATATAGCGTGTTAGAAAAAACATTGAGGTTGGTTTTTTTTTACATTCTCCATTTTTCTTACGACAGCCCTCTGGTGTATCAGATCTTGATATATATATTCTTGGGAAGAGTGAATTGTGTCTTTATCTTTCTCTTTCATGTACAGAATATGTTGAGAACTTCCTTAAAAAGGAAGCAACCATTCCTTGTTCATTTCATTCCTGGTTTTTAGGCACATGAGATTTTGCTTGTTTTGATTTTGATTTTTTATTATGTTTTCATTTTTGAAATGCCTCTTTTAAGGTCCATCTGATTTCCCTCTATTGTTAAAACCAGAACATGTGTATTTGAGAGTACTTCAAAAGCTCAGAAACTAAATTTGTCTTTTCATGATGATTAAGAACGTTTTAACTATATTAAAATTGCTCAGAGGGGGAGAAGGCGAGGGTGGGATGTTTCAAGAGGACAGCATCGAAACACGTATATTATCTAGGGTGAAACAGTTCACCAGCCCAGGTTGGGTGCATGAGACAAGTGCTCGGGCCTGGTGCACTGGGAAGACCCAGAGGGATTGGGTGGAGAGGGAGGTGGGAGGGGGGACCGGGATGGGGAATACATGAAAAAAAAAGATACACTATGGTTGTGATAAAAAATTAAATAAATAAATATATTAATTAAAAAAATAAAATAAAATAAAATTGCTCAGAGGGTCCTGACATGTATGTTTTAGCTGTGTTGTTTTCAAAGTTTATGATTTTTTTTTTAATGGAAAATACAGTTGTGATATCTTATTTCTTGAATTTTCCATCTGTTATGAACCTCACTAGAAAGGTAAATGCCAAAGTAGAGCTGAGTGGCATTAAAAACAGGGGTAGAGAATTGTTGAAGATGAATAATGTTTCCTCCTTAACTTTCCTCAGAACTGGGATTATCCAAGGTTATTGGGGTTGTATATGTTGTTGAATCAGTAGTGACTCCTGAAATACAGTTTGGCATGGCTGGTGAATATTTCTTGCAAAATTAAAAACTGGTTTTTTTTGGATAACTGATCTTATAGGTACCTTTCATTATAAATACATTATGGGATGCTCTTCTGGAACTAGATGATCTAACAGCATCAACAAATAGTATTATGACTCTTCTGTCATCCTTGTTAACTTATCCTCAGGTTCAACAATGCAGGTAATTATTTCTGTTCAATGCAATAAAGTAGAAAGTGTTTACATACAGTTCCAGATAATTAAAAATATGATAGTCTAGTGTCTTTTAGAACAGCACTGTAAGTTGGGGATGCCAAAGACAGTTATTTTCAGGAGGACTTTTCTTCTTCATTCTCTAGCCACCAGCTCTTTTGGGGCAGAAACTTAGAGAGGCTATATTCTTGGGTTAATTCCATTATATAATCATTCAACTTGTTCATCCTATGATAGTTAACTTTAGATAAACAATTATCTATTTTATTTTCACCTCTAGTTCTAACCTATAGAATTTTGTAGGCTTTGTGACAGTGGTTAATTGAATTATCAGTGAACATCAGTTTTACATTTCCAAATTTTGCTATTCTGTAAGCATTTTCTTCGTAATGTTTACAAAGAAATATTTTCTTGATTTCAATAATCACTTATCAGGAAGGGAATACATAATAATGTAATGTTTAAAAGCAGAGAATGGGTAAAGCAAAGACGTAAATCAAAAATTTAGTGTCATTTATTTTCTTGTCTTGATATCTGAAATGAAGCTTAGCTAATGTATTCCCTACCTTTTAGACTGGCTCCTAAATATTAGTATCCTTGGAGATACAGAAAAAAAAATTACAGATGAGAAAGTTAATTACTCTTCTTAGGCTAGTGAGTGTAGTCAATTAATGTTTATGTAATTATGATTATAAATGATTTCTGGTTCTGTGAGTAAATCTATTTCCGATGAAAATCATTGATGTGTGAAAAACATGGAGAGAATGTTTCAAATAATACTGACCTGTGGTCGTCCTTTTAAATTTAGGCTAGTGGGACAACCCAAAATTGAAATAGCAAAATAAGTGCCTATAAAGTGAAGAGAAAAATTGAAATAGTAGTGCATATATGGTGTTTCCTAATTTTCAGACACTTTCATTGGTATAAGGATTAAATGAGCTAATCTGTGTGAAAGCCCTTCTCAAGCTGCAAAATGCAAGAATTCTTTATTATTATTATATATCAGGGGTTGGCAAACTTTTCCTGCCCAGGTAGTGAGGCTTTGCCTTTGTGGCCATATGATCTCTGTTAAAGCTACTCAACTCTGTCTGTGTAGCACAAAAGCAGTTGTAGATAATACATAAAGGAATGAACATACCTGTAATCCAATCAAACTTTATTTAAAAACTCACATAGAGTGAACTTGAACTGTGAGCCTTGGTTTGTTGGCACTTGCCCTAAAAAAAAGGGGGGGGGCTTTGGACTTTAAAATGTATGCATATAATCAAGTGGACAGTGTTGGAAAAGCTAGATAATGTAAAAAAAAAAAAAATCGAGGAATGTAGTGAAAATTCTGTTAATTCAGAGTGGAATAATGTAGTTTTTGATTTTTTTTTTTCAAAATTGCCTTAGAAAATTTGCTTCATATGTTATGATATTTGGCAGATACTTTCCAGCTTATGTAAGAAGACATGCAGCATGTATTTGGAGCATGAAGAGTTACTCTATTAACAAGACCTGCTATAATGCTTTTTCATATTTGAGTCTGTTTTATGTCTGTTTGTGCATGTGTTTAAGTTGTAATTTTATAAGAATTTACTAGATGTGTAAATAAATGTAAAAGGTGATGTTCATATAAATCTGCAAGTAATGAAAATAGTATTAAAAGATGGACCTCCTGAGAGGAACCAAAAGAACAGATAATTACACTGACATATTCTTTTTTCCTCATGTCTTTTTCTACTGAGGTATATATTTCAAATGCTACTTATAAATAATTTGCTAATTTGAGGTAACTTTTATAAATGACTCGTGGATGTGACAGGAATCCTATGGTCCAAGTTGTTAGCCAACTCGTGCTTTGCTTGCTTTCACTTTTAAAATCTAATCTGTGAGAAGGAAGATAATTTGAGTTTTCCTAATTTAGTAATGCTAGATTAGGATAACAAATTCCGAAGCTACTACCATACCATCTCTTGCTTCTTTTGATATTTGATAGAGATGGCCCCAAAGGGAGGTATAAATTCTGTGCACCTATTGGTTACCCGTTGGAGTTAACAGTAGGAAAGGAGTAAGGATTAACAATCCTGATTTTTGTGTAGGCTATCAACTAAGATACATGTCCCATTTTCCTGAGTAAGAACAGACTGGGAATAAGTGCAGTTATTCTGAAAAGTTCCAATTGGATAGAGGTGATTCATGGTATTAGTGCCACAGAATAACCTCATGGTAATGTTTCTGCTACTCTTTATGACTGCATTTGTTCTGTCTATTCTGGTGTTATAATAACAGTTTTGTATGAGGGTGTTAAGCAAGTGCTCATAGGAAAATTGTATTGTCTTTTTAGAATTTATTCATCAAAAAGTTGCTAGGTCCATAAGGAAATGATATTTAGATGATGTATCAGCAGAATTTCAACTGAGAATGAATAAGATTAATCTGTGCCTTCTTTATTAGTATTCAGCAGTCACTCACAGTTTTAGTTCCACGGGTCTGGCCTTTTTTGCATCACACTATATCATCAGTTCGAAGAGCGGCCTTGGAAACTCTGTTCACTTTGTTATCAACACAAGACCAGGTAAGAACTGATAACTACAGTAATTTTGAAATTTTTAGAGATTTAATTTTGTAACATCAATCTGACCACGAGGTTACCCTTGCTTTACATAAATATCAGGAGAATGCTAGGGCTAGTAAAATTGGTATGGTGACTATGTTAGATACACAAAAATATAATCATCATAAGGGCAGAAATACTTTAATACTGTTCTAGATTGTATTCCCAGCCCATGGAATATTGCTTAACACAAAGGTGGCTCTCAGCAAGTTTTTGTTGAAGGAAAGATTGAATCATCCCTTCCTGTCAAAGATCATGTTATTCATTCTTTGCCTGCTCTGTGTGGTTGACAGTTGGATGGTTGGCAAAAACCATCCCAGGTTAGAAAGCTACCTGTGAAGCTCTGCAGTGTGACTTGAAAAGACTGATAATACAATTGCTAGGCACTTACTTCCTTTTAAGGAATACTTAGTCTTAAGAGCATTTTATTTCCAAGTAGTAACACATTTGAAATGCCTATAGAGACCCTTCAGGTAATATTGCTGGGTAAATAGAAATCTGTTATGAGCTGAGTAATCCTTGCCCAGTTTGTAAAAGGCTTCACGTTCCTGTTTTAAAAATAACATTAAAGGTCAAACAAAATACTAGAATTTAGGGAAGCATCATAAGGAATCCATTTCTTATGCTGTTATTTATAGGTGCTGCGTTTTGAACCAGTGGTCTTTAAAAAACAATGATTAATTTTTTTTGACACTATATTAATACTGTGGATAAATGTCTCTGTGTTCACCAACCATGCATTCCTATGTGAATTAGGAATATTCCATGTAGACCTACTTTAATCTATAGCACAGTATTGTGCTGCACTACCATGAATCAACATTTGTAAATTTCCTATTGCATTATCTTTTTTATCTGATCAGAATCTTCTAAGAAAAAGCTATCATGTCCATTTTATTAATATGCTTAGTTGATCAGGCATGGGTTCATATAAAGAACTGCTGGCATGGGTTCTGAGTTTTCACTTTTTTTTTTTTTTGGTTTTGTGAGTTTTGCCTAAATTTTTTTGATGTAAATATTCTTAAATTCATTTTAGATAGACCTGTTGAAATTATCAAATTTCTTCCCTTCATGTTGTTGTTGTTTTCTGTTTTTTTAATACACTTTACTTTTAGGAGCAATTTTAGGTTTACAGAAAAGCTGAGCAAAAACTACATAGTTCCTGTATGCCCCTACCCATATGCACAGTTTCCCCTTTAGCTAACATCTTGAGTTAGTGTAGTACATTTGTTGCAGTTGATGAACTAGTATTGATACATTATTAACTAAAGCCCACAGTTTACATTAGGGTTCACTCTTTATAGTGTAGATTCTATGGGTTCACATATGTACAGTGGTATGTGCTCACCATTAGAGTATTATACGGAATAGTTTCACTGCGCTAAAAAGTGCCTGTGTCATTTCCACTTTTCCTCCCTTCAAAACCTTAGCAACCGCTACTCTTCTGTTGTTCTCATACTTTTGCCTTTTCCAGAATCCCACATAGTTGGAGTTATGTAGTATGTGGGCTTCCCTGGTAGCTCAGATGGTAAAGAATCCGCCTGCAGTGCAGGAAACCTGGGTTTGATCCCTGGGTTGGAAAGATCCCCTGGAGAAGGAAATGGCTACCCGTTCCAGTATTCTTGCCTGGAGAATTCTGTGGACAGGGGAGCCTGGCAGGCTGCAGTCCATGGGGTGGCAAAGAGTTGGACATAACTGAGCCACACATACATGTAGTATATAGCTTTTTAATAGTGGCTTCTTTTTCATTTAGCATTACAAAATTAAGGTTTCTCCATGTCTTTTTTATAACTTGATAGCTCATTTCTTTTTATCACTGAGTAATAATATTGCATTGTATGGATGTGCCACAGTTCATATATTCACCTATTAAAGGATATTTTCATTTCTTTCTGTTTTTTATCAGTTTGAATGAAATTTTTAACATTTGTGTGCAGGTTTTGGTATGGGCATAGTTTTCATTGCACTTGGGTAAATACTAAAGTGCACAATTGCTGGATCATATGCTAAGAATATATTTAATTTTATAAGAAAATGTCTTCTAAAAATGTCTGTACCAATTTACATTTCCACCATCAATGAATTAAGAGTTTCTGTTGCCCTATATCCTCTCCCAGCATTTGATGTTGTCAGTGTTGTTGATTTTAGCTTTTCTAGTAAGTGTATAGTGGTATCTCATTATAAATTTGAAGTTCTCTAATGATACATGATATTAAACATCTTTTCATATGCTTATCTTTAGTAATTTTGTTTTGTTTTACAAAACCATAAGACTTTATAAGGAAGATAGCCTGAATCTCACTTATCCCTGAATCATACTTATCCCATCATAAGTATGTATGTGTATATGCTTGTCTCTAAAATGTTTTTGTATAGAACCACAGTTAATAAGTTATTTATAAATTCTCTCTTTTTTTTAAATTTATTTGCCTGCACCACATGTCTTGGAGGATCTTAATTCCTTGACCAGGGATGGAATCTGGGCCCTGGGCAGTTGAAGCATGAAGTCCTAACCACTGGACTACCAGGAAATCTCTGAAATCTCATTTGTATTAGATTCTTTTATGACATACCTTGGCATCTTTGAAAATAAATTGTTTAATCCCTGTGCCTTTATCTCTTATGTTAACATGTGAAAGTATTGGCAAGTCTAGCTTCTCAGAGAGTATGAAATAAGAACTCTTAGGCAAACTAAATTAATTTTATTTGGTAATGACTTAAAATCAGGATGTAACTTTTTTTTTTTTTTGCTGAACTGAGAACTTGACAACGTGAAGTAATTTATCATTTGTTTTTCCTTTTTAAAAAAAATTAGTTTTTATTGGAGTATAGTTGATTTATCATGTGTGAGCTTCTACTGTGCAGCAAAATGAATCATACATATATATTCATTTTTTTAGGTTCTCTTCCCATGTAGATCATTACTTGTTTTTACTTTCTATAGACTGTATTTATTCATGCAGGTTTATCTATGAATGTATATGTTTATCTGTGAATTACTTTACTGGAATGTCTGGATTAATTAGTGTTGATAACTGTTATCTTTAATAGTGGTTTTAGTCAGAACTCAGCTAGGAAAATATATTCTGGACATTAACCTCTAGTTTAGCCATATTTTGTTGACTGGGTAAGCTTTTCCATTCTGTTTGCATCAGAGTCACCTTCTGAGTCATTTGAAAATTTCAGTACATGAAGTAATTTTTATTTGAAAGGCAATCATTAGCATAATGCTTATAAATTTAGCATGAAGATATACATGAGATTGAGTTGGAATTTGGGGGCATATTTAGTCCAGGATGTAAGAAAATTTAATGTATGCGTATGTAGAGAAGGGAATAAAGACCAAAACCCAGAGTTGACTGATAATTTGACATTTGAGAACATTAGCATAATTAGGTATCGGTCAGATTTTATAAGGTATGAAGAGAGAGCAAAGTTTAAATATTTATCTGAGTTTCAGTAAATATTGGTTGGACAAATCAATATAGTTGTCTAATTATAGAATTAGGTTTTGTTTTTTGGCAGTGGGCCAAGTAGGATTTCAGACCAAGTTAGTAGAGGAGCTCAGAACTCAGTGTGATTCATAACTTTGTGGTAGCTTCTTTCCAGATTTTCTTCCCTGCAACCCCATATCATTTGGTATGGAGATAGAAATGATACCTACTGACATGAATCAGGTGTTCATGGTAAATGATAATCAGATTGCTGCTCCCCCCCCACATCTACACACTTTATGGGTGTGCTTGTGGGAAGATAAAAGAGGGGCCATAGCAAAATGGTGCTGGCAAGATCTTATCCCACATAAGATGCCAATTTTGCCAGTTAATGATTTATTATCAACCTACAATTGTGGAAAATTTTGCATATTACCAACTATTCCTTCTGACTTTGACTGTTCTCATAATCAAGGTGGATTTGTTCAACAGTTATTTTAGTGCCTCCTATGTGCCTACAATTTTCTAGATACTGATTGGTAAGAGGAGATCTGTTTCCTTCTGTAGAGCTTCAAACAGGAAGCTAAGCAAGACAGAAGACAACTAGACAAGTCCTTGTAATTACATACTGGCCGTTTTATAAAGCCATCATTACATAATGAGGCCAGAATCTGGTAGGGGGAGAAGACAGTGTTACTGGATCCTGACTAGTGAGGTGAGCAAAGGTCAGGGAAGTGTCTTGCTGAAAGTACAGTTGACACTGAGATCTGAAGGATGAATGGAGTTTAACCAGGTTGAAGAGCAGGGTAACAGTCAGAGGAAGAACACGTGTCAAACTCTGGGAGCAGGAGTGAGCATGACGGCACTAAAGAGGAAGGGAAACTGGTCTGGCCGAAGGACTGAGTGTAAGGGGTGTAGATGGCTCAAAGTTTCACGTTGACTTTGTAAATATAGTGACATGTCCGATGGTCTTATTTTTGTTTGTCATCAGCGTTCCTTATTCTGAGTTCCACAAAGGCAGAGTGAAGGCAGGAACACCAGTCTGAATAAAGGAGCTGTACAGAGACTGCCCCATTCTCTTTACACTAAATAACTGTCAGTCATTCCCCTGAGTCTTCCCACAGATGCCCACTCCTCCATCTGACCCTCATTATAAAAATGACATCAAGTGCTAATACTGTGTCAATTATTTAACAGAAACCAAAATATTTTTTAAAAGCCCTCTTAAAACATGAGTTCACTTATAACTTGAGTTGTAGTAGTATAGGTTATAGTTAATTTAAACCTGGTGAAGTAAGTCTGTGATAGGCATTTTTCTGTAATTTGGATTATACTCTGCTCGACTACTACTGAAGTCATCAAAACTTTCCAGACTTTGCCTAAGACTAGAAGGGAAATTTGTGACTAGTAGACTCCTAGTTAGTAACATCCTAGAAGTCCATTGACTATTTTTTTTCCATTGACTATTTTTTTAAAATTTTGGGATGGAAAATCCCAACATGGTTAATTTCTAAGCAACTTAAAGTATTGTACCCCTCACTGTACCCCACTCCTAACCAATTCAGTTTAATAAATCTATAAATAAAAAGCAACATTAGGTTACCTGCCTAAGTCAGTGTCCACTGGAAGACAGGCACAAAATTTATGAAAAGAGGTGGAACAACTTTCAGATTTGCAAGAGGCAGGTTGTTTCTGGCTAGGCCAAATTGTACTTAGCGATTTTTGGAGAAAATACTAATAGTGAGCTGAAGCGTGTAACTTTTTGTAACAATATCTAAAAGGAGATGCTTGCACAGTTGTTCAGATAGAACAGTTGTTCAGATAGAACAGCCTCAGCTGTTTTCTCAGCTTTATTTTGTAACTTGTATTTTCTGCTAGGCAGACTTTATGTTGTGTTGCTGGAGAAATCTGCATTTTTAAAAATACTCGTTCCTGTGATGATAGTGACCTGCATATTCTGTTTTTTGTTTGATTTTTTGTTTGGTTGGGCTTTTGGTTTCTCTATTTTTTAAATTTTATTTTCCTCTTTATTTATTGACTTGACTTTTTTTTTTTTCATTTATTTTTATTAGTTGGAGGTTAATTACATCATTGCAGTGTTTTTTGTCATACATGAAATGAATTAGCCATGGATTTACATTTGACTTGACTTTATAAAGCAAAATTTAACAGAAAATACAGAGTGCCCATCCATATACCTCCTACCCTCTCCCAAATAACTGCTCCAACCATCAGTGTCGCACACCAGAATGTTACAGTTAGTGAACGAACGTTGGCATGTTATCAACCAATCCATAGTTATATTAGGCTTGACTTTTTTTCCTGGGCTGTGCCACATTGCTTACAGGATCTTAGTTTCCCGACTAGGAATTGAACCCCGACCCTTGGCAGTAAAAGCACAGTCCTAACCAATGGACCTCTAGGGAGTTCCCTTGGCTTCAGTCTTGATGTTGCATGTTCATTCTATTGATTTTCACAGATGTGTGATGATCTTTCCATTATTATATCTTACAGAATAGTTTGTCTACCGTAAAAACACCCTGTCTTCTTTCATTTCTTTATTCCTTTGGTTGTTTTTAAAATAATTAAAAAGTAGAGTTTACTAGAGTAACAAAGCTTATAGTATGAGAAGACTACTACAATTTATATTACATTAACAGTTTATTAATATAGGGGGGAAAAATCTTCACCTATAGGTATGGCTTTGGGATCTACAAGCAACTATTTTGATTTCCACTGATGAGGTTAGGGGTGGATTAAGAGAATTGGTAAATATGGTAGGGGGAAATGAGAAGAAATTATAGGAGACTAATATTAAATTATTTGCTTATTGCTATTACAGCTTTCCTAATTGCTGTTCTCTCTGCTGAGGAAAGGAGAACTTTTCTTCTTTCTAATATCCCTTTCCCTTTCAATGAAAAGTAGTTCTTTAAGGCAACCCCCGTCAGTGAGTAGGCTCCCCCAGCTGATGATTTTGCAGTCTGTATTAAATTTCTTTCAAACCATTTTGAGAAACATGTGAAAAAAAGACCAGTTTTTAGTTTCCTACTGGCAAGAGAACTGTAGGTAGCTTTCTGAGTTATGCAATATCCCTAGACCTTCTCACTTTCTGGAATTTCAGTTAAACATTTTCCAAATTTCTCTTCAGTCTCTTCCAGACAATTCAGTTCAGTCGCTCAGTCATGTCTGACTCTTTGCGACCCTGTGAACTGCAGCACGCCAGGCTTCCCTGTCCATTACCAACTGCCTGAGTTTACCCAAACTTATGTCCATTGAGTCAGTGATGCCATCCAACCATCTCATCCTCTGTCGTCCCCTTCTCCTCCTGCTCCCAACCCCTCCCAGCATCTTTTCCAATGAGTCAGCTCTTCGCATGAGGTGGCCAAAGTATTGGAGTTTCAGCTTCAACATCAGTCCTTGCAATGAATACCCAGGACTGATCTCCTTTAGGATGGACTGGTTGTATCTCCTTGCTGTCCAAGGGACTCTCAAGAGTCTTCAACACCGCAGTTCAGAAGCATCAATTCTTCTGCACTCAGCTTTCTTCCAGACAACATAGTTTTTATTTTTTAAAAATTGTGGAAGGATGTGATGTTAAGTACTATGAACTAGTTAATAAAATTTTTAGTTCTTACTCAACAAGCTTGTAATTTGAACAGTAGACAACATGAGTTTCCTTTTCTACAATTCTGAGCACACAATGGATTTGATTGCTTGATTTGGGTGGGCTTTTGATTTGTTGAGAAATTCCTTAGATTGAGGTTCTAAACCTGAGCTTAAGGAAATCCCTGAAGCTGAAAGCAAAATATTATACATAAGTATGTATATAAGTGTATTTTTCTAAGAGAAGATTGTGCAGTCTTTCCCTGATTTTCAGAGGGTTCTTTTTTTTTTTTTTTCTTTTTTTTTTTCAGAGGGTTCTTAACCCAAAATAAATTTGGAACTTTGGCCCTAATTTTGTAGTGAACTCAAAGTTGAATTTTCTAGATTGGATATCATCTCACAGTTCTTTTCCTGCATTAATGATGAGCACATACAACTTAAGCTGATTATCTAGCACAACTGTAGTGTGATCATTTATCAAATTTCCCTGACAGAGCACTGATACACAATGAAACCAAAGAGATGTCACTGGTTAGAGCTTGCTTCCATATACAGGATGATTTCAGTTAATTAGAAGCAAAATTCAGTGTTGTTAATCATAATCAGACTTTCTCTAGGTTCCTAGAGACTGTATGCCATTTAATTTCTCCAAATCATTGGAATAATAGGGTGTTTTTGCTCAGAATCTTGTCAAAATTTATCACCAGTTGAATGTTTTTGATGAAGTCATAACAGTCTTTTCATGGTAGTACTTCTGTTATTTGACTTAAAACTTTTAAAATAAGCTAACGCTGCAGAATTATGTTATAATTTTGATTTTGATTTTGTTTTTAGAACTCTTCATCTTGGCTTACACCTATCCTTCCTGATATGCTTCGACATATATTTCAGTTTTGTGTTTTAGAAAGCAGCCAGGAAATTCTGGACCTCATTCACAAGGTATGTGGTGAATATATCTGTACTCCTTTTCCCAGTGCCTTGGGAGATATAAAATTTTTTTTTCATAATTGTGTACAGTTGTCGATCAGGAGTTTAAGAAATTAGAAATTATCCAAGACATTTGAGTAGTCTGGAGATCAAGGAAATAGACTTTTTATGGATTATAATGGTTAAGTTCTGTTTAGTTGTGTGACCCACTATGCAGGTGTTTTAAGCACTTTATTCATAGCCTCAATACAGAAAATAAAAAATGAAGAAAAGACGACTTTTTTCCATCACTGATTTTGTTTTCTATCAGGATGCTTATCTGTCCTATAGAGTATCTTTTGAGATTTATTGGTAATATATAGAGTCTGATTGTCATAATTTGGACTTGTACTTTTTCCTTTTATTTAGGAATATTGGTCATATGTGTTGGAACCTATAAAGAATAGCCACTTGATATGTTTAATAATATTTATGGGAGAAAATGGCACTGTTGTACCTTTAATACCTGTTAACGTAGTCTTGAATCATTGGCCTCTGAAGTGGCTCATTGTTAACAGCTGTGGGTTAACATTGGTGGTGTTTCTACATGCTGGCCCTAGCCCATTTAATGTTAGGCATCAAGACAAGTGCTTTAGGGCTTCCCTGGTGGCACACTGGTACAGAATCCACCTGCCGATTCCGGAGACTTGGGTTCAGTCCCTGATCAGGAAGCGTCCCACATGCCTCGAGCTGCTGAGCCCACGCGCCACAACTGAGCCTGTGCCCTAGAGCCTGGGAGCCGCGGCCACTGAGCCTGAGTGCCCTGGAGCCCTGCTCTGCAGCAAGAGAAGCCACTGCAGTGAGAAGCCCCCGCAGCACCAGGGAACCAGCACGGCCATGAATAAATAAATAAATAAAATTATTATTTTTTTTTAAAGTGCTTTATTGAGTAAGATCATGAATCAAGATTTACATTGTTTCTAATTTATACTAGGATATTACTCTAGTATATTATTCTGATATGGCTTCCCTCATAGCTCAGTTGGTAAAGAATCCGCCTGCAATGCAGGAGACTCCGGTTTGACTCATGGGTCGGGAACATCTGCTGAAGAAGGGATAGGCTACCCACTCCAGTATTCTTGGACTTCCTTTGTGTCTCAGCTAGTAAAGAATCTGCCTGCAATGAGGGAGACCTGGATTTAGTCCCTGGGTTGGGAAGATTCCCCTGGAGAAAGCAAAGGCTACCCACTCCAGTATTTTGGCCTGGAGAATTCCATGGACTATAAAGTCCATGGGGTCACAAAGACTTGGACACGACTGAGGAACTTTCACTACTCTGATACACTAGATATTACTAGGATATTACTCTAGTATATACTAAGGGTATTACTCATCTAAATTTAGCCAGAGCTGTTATATATTGAAGCATGTATTGAATATAGGATTGCATATAGAGCTTTATGATACAAAGAAAGGATTCCAGATATTTACTGAAATTTTGATAACTTTTTTTATGGGTATTTTAAAAAATGGTTTTCATAAAATACTGAGGAAAATACTTTGTATTCTTTTTTTAAAAACTTTCTTTTGTATTACTTTTTTTTTTTAGTATACAAACTTATCTACCCTAAAACTGTTTCAGAGTACACCTATATGTTGAATTTTAAAATTAATTTTTGTGCTATTTCCTACCTTTTTTTTTCAATTCCGTATCACTAAGAGTATTAGGTCTTATTAGGCCTTGCTAGAAAAATTTCATTTTCTTGTTCCCTTCTCATTCTGCAGGTTTGGATGGAATTGTTGAGCAAGGCTTCAGTTCAGTATGTAGTAGCGGCTGCTTGTCCATGGATGGGTGCGTGGCTTTGCTTAATGATGCAGCCTTCTCATTTACCTATTGATTTAAATATGTTGCTGGAAGTAAAAGCTAGAGCCAAAGTAAGTGTAGAGGAACATAATGTATTTGTATGTTCAACTCATAATCATTAATACAGTAACTGTGTTAAGAAATCTGTATTGCTTTATTATAAGTGTGATATTGTAACAGAAGGAAAAATTATTGGAACCTTGACAAAATGCATAGTAATTTTTATCCATTAAAGTTTTGTGAAAGAACTGTATTCTAGTAGAATTGGAACAAATGAGATTGTTTTTTATGTTGTCTATTAAATTTTAATGGTAAATCTTTCATTATTGTTTTCCCCCCTTATTCACTTAGGAAAAAACAGGTGGTAAGGTGCGCCAGGGCCAAAGCCAGAGTAAAGAAGCACTTCAGGAGTACATTGCAGGTGCAGACACCATCATGGAAGACCCCACCACCAGGGACTTTGTTGTTATGCGGGCCAGAATGATGGCAGCCAAGTGAGTGTACATAAATTCAAAAGTCATTTAACAAAAGATTCCTTCCATGTGTCTGTCAATCCTTCCATCATACTAGAGTAAGAGAAAAATTAAAATCTAAGAAAACATTTTTCATTCTTTTGAAGTTTTAAAAATAAGATTTGTATTTTTTTGGTGCACATATACTTTAATATTTAAGCTTAGGTAAGGTCATCTTAAATGGCAGATACCAAAATTTGTCTGGGAAGGCAACCCAGCAATTGCACAGTCCACAACAAAATTTGAACACCTAGGCCACATAACTGTTTTCAGGCCTAAAAATCTCCTTTGTTTTTGTTGTTGTAGTTGCTAAGTCATGTCCGACTCTTTGTGACCCCATGAGCTGTTGCCCTCCAGGCTCCTCTGTCCATGGGATTTCCCAGGCAAGAGTACTGGAGTGGGTTGCCACTTCCTTCTCCAAGGATTTGTATTTTTTTATGAAGATAAGATAGGAGTTAAGTCTTCCCTAGGAAAAGTTATAGCTTCAGTAAGGGAAACTTTTTTATAAAGTAATTTTATAATTATATAAAGTAATTATACAGAATAATTATATTAAGTAATTTTATAATTTTATAAAGTAACTTTTATAGTAACTTCTTTTTTTCTCCCTCTTAGGTTGTTAGGAGCCCTTTGTTGCTGTATTTGTGATCCAAGTGTAAATGTGGTAACCCAAGAAATTAAACCAGCTGAATCCCTTGGCCAGTTACTACTCTTCCATTTGAACTCCAAATCTGCCTTACAGAGAATTAGTGTAGCTTTGGTAATCTGTGAATGGGCTGCTTTACAGAAGGTAAGATTTTGCCCCCAAATAAATGAAGACAATCTAAACTAGATTCCATTAGCTGTTAGGATCATTTTCATTGTGTTTTACAAACAGAAAAGTGAAAATTTTCTCTGTAAAAAAAATTGAACATTTATAGAAAAGTATTCCAAATTATACTGAAACATTGTTTCTCTCTCATTTGCCTTTAACCCTAGCCTTTTTTCCTAGAACCCCCAGTTTTGTACCTGAGAACTACAAAACATAAGAGGCTTTGAGAGCTAGAAGTCCATTTGTATGAGTAGTAGCAAGGGCAGATTTTTGGTCACAGGAAGAATAAAATCAGCACATTTAAACCCAAATCTTTGTGTTTCCAAATAAACCATTCCCTTGTAGCCCCTTTAGTTTTTAACTTTTAGTAATATGTATTGATTTTGTGTTAAGAATTGCTTCTGTAAATCAAAGAAACTTCCTGCTGGCTTTGTTTATTCCATTGACTGGAATTCTGGAAATTTAACTGTCTGCACTTGCTGTGAGAGTTGCTTCTTACTGCCTCTTAACAGTTTGTCAAAGCTGTGTCTAAAAGTAATTGAGCCATGCTCTATTGCAACTGAAACCCCAGCTTTGCCTCTGGAAAGAAGCAAGGCTCATCTGTTTTTAGGCAGGACGTGGTGTGCTGGAGAGGCAGTGATGCTGTGTTTTTGTGCCTCTCAGACTCAGCAGCAAGTGTTGACAGTTCGGTTTCTGGACCCTCACAGAGCTTCTCTGGACTTACTCTGTGAAGCCCAGGCTGATCACCCAGATCCCACAGAATCCCTCATGGCTCACCACTGAGGTCATTCCCCCTCTGGTTGGGGCAGGCAGCAACCAGAGAGAGTGGGAAGGGTTAGTTAAATTTGGGGGCAGGTGAGTAGCTTTTAAATTATATATCCATTTCTACAGTATGGCATGTGAAACTGTGGGTTCAATTGTTAAGAAATCTAATGAGTTTTTAAATAACATTTTTTAGTGCATGCTAAGTGTTCTTTCCTGACTGATTTCTTTTTACAGTTGTATATTTTTAAATCTGTCTTGGAATAAATTCAGAATAAAGTAAGAGTAATTAGGTGGAAAATTTAATGGAATTGTAATAGTTCCATGTGCATGTTCTGTAGTCATTCATATTAAAATTTTAGAGTAGTTTGGGTGTGATACCTTTTCTCTGTGAAACTAACTATGTTCTGGGAGATAACAGAATATAGATTAAAAAACAATAGAAATTTAGACTTGGTAGTTTGCAAGTGAAGATTATGCATTTTTGAATTATATTTACATATTTGCCATGAATATTTGTTGTCTGTTGTATTTTAGGAGTGTAGAGCTGTTACCCTAGCCGTGCAGCCACGCTTACTTGATATCCTTTCAGAACATTTATATTATGATGAAATTGCGGTTCCATTTACACGAATGCAAAATGAGTGTAAACAGCTTATTTCATCACTAGCTGATGCACATATTGAAGTTGGTAATAGAGTAAACAACAACGTTTTTACAATTGATCAAGCTCATGACCTGGTGAGTAAAGAAGTGACTTTCTTAATTTTAGAGCATGAAATAAGATAAGAAATTTGTCAATGTCATGTTTACCACAAAAACACTTAATTTGTTGAATGTATTTGTGGCTTGGTAGCCTATCATATATTCAGAATAAAGTAAGAGTAATTAGGTGGAAAATTTAATGGAATTAAATTCCCTTTGGAAAGGTTATTTCATTGTATTGACTTTTCTTCAAACAAGAGAATGGAAAAGGGATTTTTTTTTTTTTTAATCTCAGCTTTAACAAACCAATACACCTTTATTAGAAAAAGCTGTTGTCTTTTGTCATTTCTCAGTTTTGTCTAAGACTGGCAGAGTATAGGGGGACAAAAAATGTTTCTGAGTATTTCTCCTCCTCCCCCAACTTACAGTGAAAACATTCAAACATAAGAGAATTACACAATGAATACTCATATACCTACCAACTAGATTCCATAGTTAACACTTTACTAAATTTGCTTTATCATATATATATATTAATTATAATATGCAACCATTAATCCATATTTTTGATGTATTTCTAAATAAGTTGCAGACAGCTATTGCTGCACCTCAACTAAAATTCAGGATTTTCCCTTTTTTTGCTCTTTTTTGTGTCATTAACTAAAATTTAGTTTTTATGGTGATTTGCTCTTTCTTTGAGGTAAAGCTTATGTTCTGTGAATTGTACAAATCTTCAATGGAATATATGATGAATTTTAACAGAAATGTACACCTTTGAAACCCAAACCTCTGTCAAGATACAGCCAGTGCCATACCCACTCCCCAGTCAGCCTCCTGCCCTCAGAGAACCCTGGTTCTGGTTTCTCATGCACCATAGATTATTTTTGCCTGTTGTTGAATTTCATATAAATGGAACCGTATACTCTGTGCTGTTCAATGTAAGGATCTTTTTCAGCATGGTGTTTTTTAAAATCATCTGTGGTGTTATATGTATCAGTAGTTCATTCTTTTGTATTGCTGAATTTACTTTCATTGTATAAACATGCCACATTAAATGTAAGCCCTTCTTCTCTTGATGAACACTTGGGCTGCTCCAAGTTTTCAGCTGTTATGAACAGAGCTGCTATAAACATTTTTGTATAAGCTTTTTTTAAGACATGTTTTCATTTCTCTTGGGTAAATGCATAGGAGTAGAATTGCTAGGTCATAGGCTGAGATGTTTATTTAGTTTTATAAAAAAAATTGCACTTTCCCAAAAGTGACTATATCATTTTACCTTCTAATCAGCAATATATGAGAGTTCTGGTTGTTCCACGTCATCACCAACAGTTGGTGATGGTCACTCCTTGTAATTTTTGCCTTTCTGGTGGTTGTGTGACAGTGGCATTGTGGTTTTAACTTGGCATTTCCTTGATGACTAATAAGTGTAACACTTTTTTATGTCTTATTCACCATTTGTTGATCTTCCTTTCCAAAATGTGTGTTCAGCTCTTGTCTATTTTTAATTAGGTTGTCTTTTTATTATTGAGTTGTAGGAGTTTTTTAATATATTTTGGATACCAATCCTTTATCATATAGATGCTTTTAGAATATTTTCTCCCAATATGAGGCTTGCTTTGTCTTTGAATGAGCAGGTATTTTTAAGTTTGATGAAGTCTAGTTTATCAGTTGTTTTCTTTTATGGTTATTGTGTTCTGTGATCTAAGGTACCTTTTCTTATCTCCAAGTGGCGAAGGTATTCACACACATTTTCTTCTAAAGCATTGTAGTTTTAATGTTTAATCCTCCATATTTATGTTTATATATAGTGCTAAATAGAGACTGCATAGTTTCATTTAGATACCTAATTTTTTCATTGGCATTTATTGAAAAGATTTTCGTTTTCCCATTGTATTGCTTTGTTTCCTTTGTCAAAAGTTATTTGAAATGGATGTGTAGTTCTGTATCTGGACTCTATTTGTTCATTCTGTTTCTCTCTCTGTATGCCAGCAACAGTGTTTTCATTACTGTATCTTTGTATTTAGTAAATCTTTGAGGTTAGGTAGTGTGAAAGAGTTCTTCCTGAGTTATAGAATCAGAAGTTCAGCTACTTTACTTGAGTTGATCCTGTGAAGGAGCATATTTCATTTCTTATCCCCCTTTCTTATTTAAAAAAAAAACAGTATAGTTGAAATTGTTTTTGGTCTCAACTGTGAGAAAAAGCTAAAATTGCTCCAGTCTTCTTTAATGTTTTTATATAATTTCTCCTTTTTTGCCTCCCCTCCCTCATATTTTGCTTTCTTAGAATAAAATCTCAAATTTTCTTTAAGGTCTGGGGTCCCTTTTTACTGTTTCTGACAAGATTTTTTAAAGCTCTTACATGGCCTTTTAAAGCTTTTATTATTCAGACCTCTTAGTCCTTAGTGGAACTATTGTTCTGTTTCATCAACTTCCTTAGTCCAGTGGTTTTGACCTAGGATACCAGAGTCTCCAGAAGAGCATATTTGAGGGAAGAACGGTTTTAAAAGATTAATCTAGACCCTGGCTAAGAGTTGCTCTTTGTATTTTTCTTTGCATTCCTATTTTTCTCTTACCTGCCAGATACAGGCATTTCTTGACGGTCTTCCTTTGTCTCTTACCATTCGCATAATTTAGTTCTTATCCATGGGCTGTACTGTCTTCTCTTGATCTTTTATGTTCTTCAATTAGGCATTTTTGTTTGGATATCTCACTGTCATTTCAAACTTAACACCACCAAAACTGGAATTTATTTTTTAACAGAAAATAGCCCTTTTTATCCACAGTCTCAAATCTTGTTAACATTTCCTTTCAGAAAGTTTCATGTGTTTATTCTTTCTCTGTTTCCATCACTACAACCCAGTCAAAGGCCTTAGTATTTTATGACTAGGTCCTGACTCATCTCTCAGGCTCCGGGCAGTCTCTGGTTCAGTTCACCCTGCCTGCTGTGCCAGACTAGTGAAGTTCTTGGTGCCACTCTGAGCACATCCCTCCCCTACTTAAAAACATTGTTTTCTTTTTCCTTTTGGTTTTTTCCTTTCTTACTTTCAGCACCACCTCTAAACTCCCCATCTCTTTTCTTATCATTTCTCAAACTTCCTCCACTTAAGCCTAGTTAGTTTTTCTTTTGCAAAAGTACACCACCCTTGGTCACTTTCTTTGCTTCACTTATTCTCTCTTCCGTGTCTGAACTCTTCCCTTTGCTGAAAATTCTCTACCCTCAACCCTCCATGCTCATCCCAAGTTCATTTTTTGACATTCTTTCATCTAAACCCTGTGTTTAAGCGATGATGACTGCTGTCAGTTCCTTGAACAGTGCCTCGACTTCCACTCACTACCTCAACTCTTTTTGCCAAGATGTCCTCATAACTCCAGACTTAACTATTGTTTAAAAACCTAGCATCAGTGTTAACTGCCTCTAGCAAACTTTCATTGCTTTTGTCACCTGAGAAGAGCTAAGCTACCCTTGTGCTACCACAGAAACTTGCACTTTCCTTAGTTTCATGTTATATTGTCTTTGTTTACCTGTGTATCTCCCACATTAGTCTCAACATTTTTTTTGAGTGTATAAAGACATTGGTTTTACTAATGTTTTAATATTACTCATTAAATATTCGTTGACTGAATGAATGAATGGAAATTGGAAAGCTTCACCTAAGCTGCCTGTAATCATTGAAAATTGACAGAAGCATAGTGTATTTAGGACAGTGTTTTTAAACTTTTAGTAGTGAAACCCTGTTTCAGATAATCTTATACAGAGCTTGAACACATAAAACAGACAAAACAAAGTGGAGAATATAAGCTAGAAGTGGTATATGATCATGTTTCTTTGTAGAGAACAGATCATGATCAAGCAGATAAAGCTCAATTTAAAGTCTTTCATATTTTTAGTGATAAAAGAAGATATTATCTGTGTGCCTGTTTTGCTTCTCATAATGAGTCTGGCATTATCCAGTCTTGCCCATAAGAAAGTTGATCATTTCTAAGTCTGAAAAATTGGGTTATCCATTTTTTAAAAGTTAGGTTCTTTAATGTTACAGACTTTTCTGACCAACATTGATCAGATTGGATCCATTTATAGAGCCTTTTTATAGAGTCTTTTTATGACTCCAGTTATTTATCAAACAAGAAGACTATTTTTGTTATATAAGCCATCATACTATCTTTAAATGGTAATTTAAAAAACATGTGCACACAAAATCGTGTACAGAAATGTTCATAGCAACATTATTTGTAATATTAACTAAGGTGGAACCAACCCAACCATTCATCAGCTAATGAATGGAAGAATGCAATATGGTATATCCATGTAGTATAATATTATTTAGCCAAAAAAAGGAATGAAATAATTATACATGCTAAAACATCAGTGAACCTTTAAAGATGCTAAATGAAAGAATCTGGTCATAAAAGATTATACATTAGTTTATATGAAAATGTCCAGAATAGGCAGATCTGTGAAGATAGAATGTAGATAAGTGGTTACATAGGATGGGGGAAATGAGGTGTTACTACTAATAGGTATTGAGTTTCATTTTGGAGATGATGCAGATGTTCTAAAATTGTAGTGATGATTGTACAATTCTGAATATAGTAAAAACCACTGAACTGTACACTTTGAGTGTACCGTATGTAAGTTATATTTCATTAGGTTGTTTTAAAAAGATGTAATGATATATATGGAATTTAGAAAGATGTTAATGATAACCCTGTATGCAAAACAGAAAAAGAGACACAGATGGACAGAACAGACTTTTGGACTCTGTGGGAAAAGGCGAGGGTGGGATGTTTCGAGAGAACAGCATCGAAACATGTATATTATCTATGGTGAAACAGATCACCAGCCCAGGTTGGATGCATGAGACAAGTGCTCGGGCCTGGTGCACTGGGAAGACCCAGAGGGATCGGGTAGAGAGGGAGGTGGGAGGGGGGATCGGGATGGGGAATACATGTAAATCCATGGCTGATTCATGTCAATGTATGACAAAACCCACTACAATATTGTAAAGTAATTAGCCCAACTAATAAAAGTAAATGAAAAGAAAAGAAAAAAAAATGAAAAGATTTTTAAAAAAAGATATAATGAACAGTCTTCTAATGGAGCTTGTAAAGTAGTCTGATGCCACAGTCGTAGCTTCAAGCAGTTTTTGGTAATTAAAGAATTAACAACTGTTATACCATTCTAAAAGAATTGGTTTATATTTTCCCAAAGTGTTATTTCACCAAAGTACTATGTGGGTATTATGTGTGATTTTTCACTCAAACTTACTAAATATAAGAAGTCTCTGAAGAGATTGTGTCTTTCTTAAAAAAGTATAATACATTGTTAAATTAAGTCAGATTAAAATAAAGTTTACTTGGAAGGTTTTAGACATTTAGTTTATTGAATACTAAAATGTACTAATTATTGTAGAATTTACAATTGAATTTACAAAGTTTGCTGTCTCCCTTTAAGAATTTACAGGCTACTTGGGGTTGATGTCATTAATGATTCTTGATTTCTCTCTTTAATAGGTCACTACTGTTTTTAATGAAGTCACATCATCCTTCAATTTAAATCCTCAAGTATTACAACAGTTAGATAGTAAACGACAGCAGGTCCAAATGACAGTTACAGAGACCAACCAGGAGTGGCAAGTGTTGCAGTTGAGAGTGCATACTTTTGCTGCATGTGCAGTTGTGAGCTTGCAGCAACTTCCAGAGAAGTTAAATCCTATTATCAAACCATTAATGGAGACAATTAAAAAAGAAGAGAATACGCTAGTGCAGAACTACGCGGCTCAATGCATGGCCAAACTACTTCAGCAGTGCACAACAAGGACTCCCTGTCCCAATTCAAAAATTATTAAAAATCTCTGTAGCTCACTTTGTGTGGACCCATATCTAACTCCTTCTGTCACATGTCCAGTACCAACACAAAGTGGCCAGGAAAATTCTAAAGGTATATATCTAAACCTTTTTTGGGGGTAGGGAAAGAATTAACCATTTAAATTTGTTTACAGTTATCTACAGGTATAATTTAAGCAAAATCCAGTTTATGTTGGAGCTTTTTATCATTTTGAGAGAATTTGCACTTATTGCTAATAAAATCACAGCCCTCTTAACTCATAAGTTATTTATAAAAGACCTGATATCTTTGAGGTCTCTAAGTTTTCACATTTAAGATGACTAAATCCTATAAGACAGGTATTAACCCTTCTCTTTCAAGATCATCATTATAGGGTTTACTGTTGACAGGGCTAGAAAACTTAACTGTATCCAATGGTGACTGAAAGTTCTTCCTATAAAATTCTGTTTTTCTCTAATTTAGTACATGTCTTATGAGATAAGTGGACTCTTTATCAAATAGTGTTTAAACAGCTTTTCTGTTTTCCTCCAAAAAATGTATATGTAACATAATAACTGCTCTTTGTAGTCTAGTCTCAAGGACCAATGTTTTGTCACATGCCTTAGTCCTAATTTCCTCCCATCCCCTCCCTGAGAGCTAGTTGAGGCAACAATTTTGCATTGGTTGGTGTTTCTGAATTCATGGTTACTGTAGACTTTTTTTTTTTTAAGAGAGAACTTACTTGCAGTATTTTTTAATGTGTCTTTTTATGCCAGGAAACAGTTACTCATTTTTAAAGAATTAATGTACTTTTAACAGAAGGTGGTACAGTCAGCCTTGCATTAGATATTTCTAGTTGTTAACACGATTCTGCAACCTTGGCTGTATTAAATATGGTCCTATGCAGATATCAAAATGTTTAACTTAATGTTGCATATTACTGATTTTTGTGACCATTTCATTGTCTAGAGAAAATATCATTGGCCTATAAAAATTGAGGCTTGAAAGACAATTTGAAAATGTGTTGTATCTTTTGGAACAGGAAACATTTGGTCACCTATATTATGCTTTAAGGATTATTTGACTTTTTTCCTTAATAGGATCCAACTCTGAAAAAGATGGAATGCATCATACTGTCACCAAGCACCGGGGTATAATTACACTCTATCGGCATCAGAAAGCTGCTTTTGCTATCACAAGTAGGCGAGGTCCTACCCCCAAAGCCGTCAAAGCTCAAATAGCCGATCTTCCTGCAGGAGGTAGTGGAAACCTCCTTGTTGAACTTGATGAGGTAAATAGTTTTTCTTCTTTGAATACTCTGACTTTAAAGCAGAATTTCTTACAGATTAGATTGAGAGCTAAATTGTCATATCAGCTTCTAGAATTATATTTTTAAGTGAATGAACTGGAGCTAATAATTTTTTGGATTATGCCAGCAACAGAGTTCAGAAAAACTACAAACTTCAAATTTCTCAAGCTTCTTATTTTTACCAGTATAGCTTTCTGATTATCTTGCTAGCAAGAAACCCTCTCAGTAGTGGGTGTATACGTCATTCATGAATATGAACTAATTCACTCCTGTAACAGTGACTCTGGAGATGTTAATAGTGAAAGTTAACTTTTCTCAGTCTTATCAGTGTTAGGAATTACTGTTGATATTCAGAGGGTAAGTTTATAGTGTCAAATAACTTGTTATGTTTTAGTCAACTTGAAATTTATTAATTGTGTGATGTGAGGTAGGGATCTAAATTTATTTGCCCATAGGAACAACCAGTTATCCCACCATTGAATCTTTTCCTCCCTAGTTGATGATAATAGCTCCTCTGTTATATATCCTGCTTTCCTATATGTAAGGATCTCCTTGGGCTTTCTATTCTATTTCATTGATCTACTTGTTCTACAGTACAGTTTTTAGAGACAATTTAAAGAAACGTTTGGTGGGACTTCCCTGGTGGTCCAGTGGTTAAGACTTCATGCTTCCAGTGCAGAGGGTGCAGGTTTGATCCCTGGTTAGGGAACTAAGATCTCACACTGCTGTGTGGCTGAAAAAAAAAAGAAAAACTTTTTTTAACTGTTTGGTTTTGAAAAATCTTACAGTCACATTTTTAACAATGGAATTCTCTAGGTAGCTCTACTGGTTGCAAGACATAGGAACTTACCTGAGTTGAGCAATAAACTATCAGTGCTAAAAAGCATGTGTTTAATATATTTCTAGAAAGTATAGGCCTATTTTAAGTTTGTTTTTTTAAACCAAAATCTTACTGTCTATATTCCTTTTAAAATATTCTGTGAATGCATCCCAGAATTTTAGAAATAAAAGCAAAAATAAACAAATGGGACCTAATGAAACTTAAAAGCTTTTGCACAACAAAGGAAACTATAAGCAAGGTGAAAAGACAGCCCTCAGATTGGGAGAAAATAATAGCAAACGAAGCAACAGACAAAGGATTAATCTCAAAAATATACAAGCAACTCCTCCAGCTCAACTCCAGAAAAATAAATGACCCAATCAAAAAATGGGCCAAAGAACTGAACAGACATTTCTCCAAGGAAGACATACAGATGGCTAACAAACACATGAAAAGATGCTCAACATCACTCATTATCAGAGAAATGCAAATCAAAACCACAATGAGGTACCATTACACACCAGTCAGGATGGCTGCTATCCAAAAGTCTACAAGCAATAAATGCTGGAGAGGGTGTGGAGAAAAGGGAACCCTCTTACACTGTTGGTGGGAATGCAAATTAGTACAGCCACTATGGAAAACAGTGTGGAGATTTCTTAAAAAGTTGGAAATAGAACTGCCATATGACCCAGCAATCCCACTTCTGGGCATACACACCGAGGAAACCAGATCTGAAAGAGACACGTGCACCCCAATGTTCATCGCAGCACTGTTTATAATAGCCAGGACATGGAAGCAACCTAGATGCCCATCAGCAGACGAATGGATGAGGAAGCTGTGGTACATATACACCATGGAATATTACTCAGCCATTAAAAAGAATTCATTTGAATCAGTTCTAATGAGATGGATGAAACTGGAGCCCATTATACAGAGCGAAGTAAGCCAGAAAGATAAAGACCATTACAGTATACTAACACATATATATGGAATTTAGAAAGATGGTAACGATAACCCTATATGCAAAACAGAAAAAGAGACTCCGATGTATAGAACAGACTTGTGGACTCTGGGAGAAGGCGAGGGTGGGATGTTTCAAGAGAACAGCATCGAAACATGTATATTATCTAGGGTGAAACAGATCACCAGCCCAGGTTTGATGCATGAGACAAGTGCTCGGGCCTGGTGCACTGGGAAGACCCAGAGGGATCGGGTGGAGGGGGAGGTGGGAGGGGGGACCGGGATGGGGAATACATGTAAATCCATGGCTAATTCATTTCAATGTATGACAAAACCCACTGCAATGATGTAAAGTAATTAGCCTCCAACTAATAAAAATAAATGGAAAAAAAAAATATTCTGTGAATGAAGCCTTTTTCACTAACTATATTCTTCTCATCTTAATTTTTTTTTCATTTATTTTTATTAGTTGGAGGCTAATTACTTCACAACATTGCAGTGGGTTTTGTCATACATTGACATGAATCAGCCATGGAGTTACATGTATTCCCCATCCCGATCCCCCCCTCCCACCTCCCTCTCCACCTGATCCCTCTGGGTCTTCCCAGTGCACCAGGCCCGAGCACTTGTCTCATGCATCCAACCTGGACTGGTGATCTGTTTCACTATAGATCATATACATGCTGTTCTCTCGAAATATCCCACCCTCGCCTTCTCCCACAGAGTCCAAAAGTCTGTTCTGTACATCTGTGTCTCTTTTGCATATAGGATTATCATTACCATCTTTCTAAATTCCATATATATGTGTTAGTATGCTGTAATGTTCTTTATCTTTCTGGCTTACTTCGCTCTGTATAATGGGCTCCAGTTCATCCATCTCATTAGAACTGATTCAAATGAATTCTTTTTAATGGCTGAGTAATATTCCATGGTGTCATCTTAATTTTAATCAAAAATGTGTACTTCGATTTGCATAGTTCCTTCACTTAAAAATATAATTGTATCTTTCTGGAGGGACTTTTTTTGTATTTAATTATGAAATTACTGCTAAGTATGAGGTTATATTAATCTTGTTAAATTAAACAGATGCTTATATTCTATCCCTTGAAAGTGAAAGTCACTCAGTTGTTTTCAACTCTTTGTGACCTCCTTGTGGACTATGCAGTACATGGAATTCTCCAGGCCAGAATACTGGAGTGGGTTGCCTTTCTCTTCAGGGGATCTTCCCAACGCAGGGATCGAACCCAGGTCCCCCGTATTGCAGGCAGATTCTTTATCAGCTGAGTCACAGGGGAAGCCCAAGAATACTGGAGTGGGTAGCATATCCCTTCTCCACGGAATCTTCCCAACCCAGGAATCAAACCGGGGTCTCCTGCATTGCAGGCAGATTCTTCACCAACTGAGCTATCAGGGAAGCCATGCTATCCCTTAAGCAAATGTAAATAAGGACAGGTCATGGTAAGTTTCTTTGGGGTAGAGAAAAGAAGAAAAAAACTTGTCACTAGGACTACCTCTAGAAACAGCACGTATTCTTCTATTTCTTTTCTCCAACCCCCCCAAAATATTTTACTTTGGATGTAAAAATCTAGCTCAGGATTTTATGCCTATGTAAATTTATTGAAAGGTGTTTTATAGTTATAATAAGTATGTCCAATAATTGCTTCATTGGTCAATGGTAACACTGAATTCTTAACACTGATTTTTAAATTCTCTTAATAACATTTTGAAAGCATTATATATACTTTTTTCTGAAATCTTGTTTTCACCTAACATTTAATTTTTAGGCTCAGAAGCCTTACTTGGTACAACGGAGAGGAGCTGAGTTTGCCTTGACAACTATAGTGAAGCATTTTGGTGGTGAAATGGCAGTGAAGTTGCCACATCTCTGGGATGCTATGGTTGGCCCATTGAGGAATACAATCGACATACATAATTTTGGTGTGTACATATTTTTCTGAGTTGGGATTTAAACAGATTTCAGTGTATATCCATTACATATGTCTTTATAAAGTAACAATGCCTGTGCCTATTTATCCCAGGCCAGCTGGTAAGTTTTTAAATAGAAGGTTGGTAAAAACATTGATTTTCATATCCTTTTGTATACTTTCTTGCTTTTTACTTTTCCTGTTATGTATTTAGAAAGAGATTTGAAATGGATCATTATATTAAGCTTCTTTAGTTCTTTAGAATTAGTACCTCAGCAGTTAAATTAAGGGTGTGGTATTTCATTTTATATTATAAAGCAAAAGAGACTCTTCCACAGTAGCTGGGGGAGTGCTAAGACTTTTTGTAGGCTCTGAATTTTGAAAAACTATTTGTAAGGTAATATGCACTTATATCAATGTATCCTAATAGATGGAAAGTCCCTCTTGGAAAAGGGAGATGGCCCTGCCCAAGAACTGGTGAATTCTCTGCAAGTTTTTGAAACAGCAGCGGTGTCAATGGATTCTGAGCTTCATCCCCTGGTAACTAACTAATGCAAGTGTAGTTTTTTTCCTAATAAAATGAGTAGTCTTATTAGAAAGACTTAAGGCTTGAATGAAAAGTGCAACTATGATGTCATCCCTTATGATTTCATTTTCTTCTAGATGCCATAACTAGATTCCTTCTTTTCCTGACAACTTAACTCTTCCAGGCTTTGAGGCAGAGCTGGGTGTGTGAATGAGAGAAAACCCACTCTGAGAGCTTAGAATATAGGGCAGTAGGAACAGGGCTCTGATCACACTGAAGCCAGCTGCAAACACAAAAGAAAGCTGCATCCCTGTTCATCTATACCATCTTAATAATATAGTCCAGGAACAGAAGAATACAGGTGATAAAACCTTCCCTAGATAAATGTAATGGTAGGAGGAAGTTACCTCTCTGAGATGAAACTAGTCAGTGGCAAAGATAGAACATGGGTTTATTTTTTGACTGTTAAAATATCTCTCACCAAAAAATTAGAATAGAGGGAGGAGGAACATAGACCAGAGAATTAATTATCTGGTGTTCCACTGAAGAAAGTATTGATACTATTCTTTCCATGTAACTGTAATAGGAAGCTCTCTGCAATTTATAACATCGTAAAAGGTGCTAGCGTCAATCCTTTGTTCATATAGGAGAGAGTAGAGGGAAATTTTTGTTTATATAGTAATAAAACATATTCTTGTTAAATTTTGCGAATTTATCATTAGTAAAGAAGGGCGGAATTCATCTGTATGTGCTCAACCTCCATGATCAAACAGGATGCATTCAGCTGAACTGTAAGGCTAGTTTGTTGAGCGAGTACCTGACTCTCATCAGCATTAATCCTGGCTTCTGTGCATCAGACATTTAATAATGGGATATGTCATGCTCTTGTGATTATATTGTGTATGGAAAGCCAGGAAGTTAAAGTGGAAAATAACTACCAGAGTATGGTGCCTAGAACAAAATCAGGATCACCCAACCCAGTGAATACAAAGTATGTACTTAAACCTAAGCCAGATTTGGAGGGGGCTGATGATGTGTAGTGTCATTTTCCTAGCCTCAGTAGGAGAATCGTGCAAGTGCCTTTGATGTGTTCCCTACGAATTTCAGAAAGTATTGAGTGTTCCCTGATGCCTAAGAGAATATTGAACAGGGGAGAAATTCTGCACCTATCTATTCTTTTTGAAAGCATTATAATAATGTAGATTTAGATTAAATTCTTATTGAGGATATTCTGACAGTGTTTTGAGGTAACTGGAGATAATTCTTGGATTTAGCATCACTTGGAATATTGAGAACCTCTGAGTAAAGGCCATTATAGTTGTATTTTAAACATTAAATTCCCTAATGAATCTTCTGACTTGTCTTAAACTTTTTGTTTTTAGTTGGTACTGCATTTGCCTCATCTTTACATGTGCCTTCAGTATCCCAGCACTGCAGTGAGGCACATGGCTGCTCGTTGTGTGGGCGTCATGAGCAAAATAGCTACCATGGAAACAATGAATATATTTTTGGAGAAGGTTCTTCCATGGCTGGGAGCAATTGACGACAATATCAAACAAGAGGGTGCAATTGAAGCACTTGCCTGTATCCTTTTTCACTTTGAAAAACTACTCAAATTATATTTGTTTTATTTAAAAGTGACTAAAATAAAATTTATTCAGATATATTTGGGGAGTTTCCTGGCAGTCCAGTGGTTAGGACTCTACACTTTCACTGCTGAGCAAGCCATGTTGGGATTGGGGGGTGGGAGAACAAGCCAAAAAAAAACAGTACCAAAAACAAATGTGCACACAACCTACCTTGTTCCAAAAAAAAGAAAACTATTTTTTTCCATTTTATTTAGAAGTGTTATTTTTATTGCATTATGTTATACCTGTATTTACATTTTATTATGATAATATTCACACAAAAAATTGAAGAAATACTGTTAATTTTAAGATACTTTTTATAAGCAAAAAATTTATAGTCAGTATGTTTTTAAATATTAGGTTGGCCAAAAAAGTTTGTTCAGCTTTTTCTATATGATGCTATGCTACTTTTTTTGGCCAACCCAGTATTAGTCAGATACTATGTAGGTAGTTCTTATAAATTTACTATGTTTGCTTTGTTCATTGATTGCCTGGCAAAATGATTAACTGGAAATATATAGACAAGCTTTTTTTACCAAGGGTATGGCATCTAGTAACATTGTTTAACTCAAAATACCTAAAAGATATTTTGGTCTAAGAGCAAGAAAGATGGATATAGATCAAACCAGTAGAAACTCTAGCTAAGAAATGCTAAAGATTATGGGACTGAACTCACTGGACCTGCTGTCTCCAGCTCAGGCTTGTTAAGATCCTGGTGGGAAAATTGGAATTAATCTTTGACACTTGCTTGTGCTCCCTTGCTTGCAATGTAAATCAGTTTATTTTGATATGTGAATTCTAGAAACTTGTAGGAATTTCTCTATGGAAAAAAATCTTAGATTTCCTCCAGCATTCCTCAGATGAAAAAAATCATCTTATCTTCTTAATCATGAGAAAGTTACATAATTTTTAAAAAAAGTAACCCTGTATAAATGCTGTTACAATTGAATCATAGACCTTGGGGGATCCTTAGTCTCTCATAATACAGGTAAGCAATGAGGAACTGTTTTAGAAGTCACAGTCTTGGTGTATCAGTTTGTTTATGAAAACATCTACCCTAGAACCAGTTAGAAATTTCCTTAGTAACTTACTCAGGTGTAATGGAACAACTGGATGTTGGTATTGTTCCATATATTGTACTCTTAGTTGTGCCTGTGTTGGGAAGGATGAGTGATCAGACGGACAGCGTAAGATTCATGGCTACACAATGCTTTGCAACACTAATTAGACTCATGCCACTTGAGGTAAGTTGATGATAACTTGGTTTATGAACTTAGTGTTTTCAGTAACTTCATAATAATTGTAACACCTTTTAAAGAACACGTTCTGAAGAACAGGTTTTAAAAAAAGATGTTGAATATGTTTACATTGTGTGTTAAGACTTTTATGTTTTAATAGGTAATTTTTTTAAACACCGTTTTAAATAAAACTATGGTTCCTAAAACAATGATAGTTCTTTAGGTGATGCTAAATTTCTAGATGCTATTCTAGAAATAAATTGTGTTCCTGAGTATCCCAGGTAAATATCTAAAATTCTGTTCTGGAGTTTACATGAAAGGTAAATTTGAGAGATGGTAACTGAAAGTGTAAAAAGCAAATGATATGTCTGTTGGATTATGGAGAAAGCAGAATGCAAGGCTGAAATTGGACAATTTTGGAGTATATTTATGGGACAGAAATAATATATATGGCCAATGCAGGAAATAGAAGTGACTTGAGAAAAGCCAGGACCCAGTCACTTAGCCATTTAATATATTTTTATGGGATTTGTGTAATTCAGGAAATAAATATATATGCATTTCATCCATTCTGCAGTATGTATCCAGTGGTTCCTTTTTAGGCCAGATAATACACTGGAATACCGCATTTTGTTTATCCTTTCAGTTGATGGACATTTGGCTATGATGAGTAATGCTGCTGTGAGCATGCACTTATAACGTATTTGGGTGTAAGCTTTTTTTTTCTCTCCTTTTGATTTCTCTGTGAGGCACATGGGATCTTAGTTCCCTGACCAGGGATCAAACCTGTGCCCCCTTCAGTGGAAGTACAGATTCTTAACCACTGGACCACCAGGGAAGTCCCTGCTTTTCTTTCTTTTGAGCAGGCATTTAGGAATGGAATTACTGGGTCATAAGATGTTAAACTTTTAAAGAAACTGTCTAGCGGTTTTCCCAGAAAACTGTACCATTTTATATTTCTACTAGAAAAGTATGAACATAATACTTTGGAACAGTCTCTCGGGGAGGGGGGGTAGGTGGAGTTTGACTATATCTGGTAAAAAAAAAAAAAGCTGAGTCAAAGGACCTACCACAGGGTACTGAGTACAGTCTTCAGAAGTATACTGCTTGCGTAGTGGGGCCAAATTAACCCTTACGAGAAGATTGATTTGAACCCACATTAGCAAAGCCTAAAAAAGCAAGCCTTAAAGGATTGAACTGGTTTCAGATAATTTAACTACATCCCAGAAAGGTTCAGCACCTAATAGCATAAAACTTAGGATATTTAGCACACATCAAAAAATTAACCAGAGGGAATTCCCTAGTGGCCTAGTGGTTAGGATTCCAGGCTTTCACTGCCATGACCAGGGTTCAATCCCTAGTTGGGAAACTGAGATCCCACAAGCCATGTGGTGTGGCCAGAGGAAAAAAAAAAAAATCACCCAGGAGAAAAGTCAGTCAATAGAAGCAGACCCTGAAATGACCCAGATAACAGAATTAGTATACAAGGTCATTAAAATATGCTCCATATGTTTAAGAAGGTAGAGGGAAAGCATGAATGTAATAAAGAGTGAACTGGAGGAAATAAGAACAACCCACATTGAACTTCTTGAGTTAAAAGATACAATTACAAATAAAAACACGCTGGATAGGATTAATGACAAATTAGATGCTGTGAATTTGAAGACACAGCAGTAGAAACAAGAATGTCATGCAGGTTAATTCCTATTCCACTTTATCTTGATTCACTCTGTTACATTTTCATAAGAATCATCATGTACTTTTCTTTCAAGGATTCAGGGACTATCAAGCAGTGGGTTTGATAGAAGCTTTTATTCCTTGCACTGTTAGTAACTCTTGCTGCTTTTATAGGAATTGGAGTGAGGAAGATATCAATGGAAAGGTTCCTGGCACTGAACAATATTTATGAATCCTAATCATTGTTAGGAAATGTACCTCATTGTATGGCCTTATGCTGAGTCACTTTAGTCGTGTCCAACTCTTTGTGGTCCTATGGACTGTAGCCCGCCAGGCTTCTCTGTCCATGGGATTCTCCAGGCAAGAATACTGGAGTAGGTTGCCATTTCCTCTTCAGGGGCTCTTCCCAACCCAGGGATCAAACCTGCATCTCTTATTTCTCCTGCATTGGCAGGCAGGTTCTTCACCCCTGGCGCCACCTGGGAAGTACGACCTTATATCTGGTTGTTATTTATTAAAAGATCCATGAAGATAAATGCCTGAAGATTTGTTCAGTTCAGTTCAGTCGCTCAGTCGTGTCCGACTCTTTGCGACCCCATGAATCGCAGCACGTCAGGCCTCTCTGTCCATCATCAACTCCTGGAGTTTACCTAAATTCATGTCCATTGAGTTGGTGATGCCATTCAGCCATCTCATACTCTGTCATCCCCTTCTCCTCCTGCCCCCAATCTTTCCCAGCATCAGGGTCTTTTCAAATGAGTCAGCTTTTGGCATCAGGTGGCCACAGTATTGCCGTTTCAGCTTCAACATCAGTCCTTCCAGTGAACACCCAGGACTGATCTCCTTTAGGATGGACTGGTTGGATCTCCTTGCAGCCCAAGGGACTCTCAAGATTCTTCTCCAACACCACAGTTCAAAAGCATCAATTCTTCGGCACTCAGCTTTCTTTACAGTCCAACTCTCACATCCACACATGACCGCTGGAAAAACCATAGCCTTGACTAGACGGACCTTTGTTGGCAAAGTAATCTCTCTGGTTTTTAATATGCTGTCTAGGTTGGTCATAACTTTCCTTCCAAGGAGTAAGCGTCTTTTAATTTTATGGCTGCAATCACCATCTGCAGTGATTTTGGAGCCAAAAAAATAAAGTCTGACACTGTTTCCACTGATTCCCCATCTGTTTCCCATGAAGTGATGGGACCAGATGAAGATTTGTTACTTCCATGTAAAAGCACTGTGCAGTAAACGCCTCATTTTGATGGTTATCATTAGGATATTGAATGTGTTAAAATGATAGTTTCTATCTTGATTAAGTTAATTCTAAAACCTTTTGAGGGAATTCCCTGGTGGTCCAGTGTTTAGGACTCCAAGCTTCCACTGCAGAGGAGACAGGTTCGATCCATGGTTGGGGAACTAAGATCCCTTGAGCTGCACAGCATGGCAAAAAAACAAAACCCCTTTTGAAAATATAACATATAATCATTTTAAGACTATATATATCTCACTCCTGATACTATTTCTGGTATTATAAGAAACATATTTGAATTGAACTTAATTGAAGTTCTGTTCTCAGAATGTTTTTACTTTTCTTAACTTCTAAGTTTACGTTTCTTAATCATAGGGCAGTAGTTCTCAAACTTTTTGGTCTCTGAACCTCTTTACACTCTTTTTTTTTTTTCATTTATTTTTATTAGTTGGAGGCTAATTACTTTACATCATTGCAGTGGTTTTTGTCATACATTGAAATGAATTAGCCATGGATTTACATGTATTCCCCATCCCGGTCCCCCCTCCCACTCTTTACACTCTTAAAAATTTAAGACCTCAAAGAACTTTTATCATATTTTCTGTAGTAGAAATTAAAAGTGAGAAGTGGGAAAAGATTTATTAATTCATTTAAAGAATAAATCCATTAGACTTTTGAATAGGCCTTTTACAGATATGTGCTTTGTAACATGCATTGGTCATTTGGAGAACACTGACTCACTGAGTTATGTAAATCTTTTAAAGGTTGATTCATATCAGCATACAATAGCAAAAAGCAGACTCATTAGTATCACCAACAGAAAAATCTCTAAATATTGGGAAGCACCTGCAGTGCTAAGTTTCTTTTGACAGCTTGCATTTTATCATTGGCAACAAGTTGTGCCACTCATTTTCCTTGAAGTGACCAAATTTTTTAAAGAAAATAATCTGCCAAATACTCAAGTCAGAATAACCATAGTTTGTCAGTCCATTCAAGTAAACTCATTCTGTAAAAAATAGCTAGGTCACCTCACAATTTTAAGAAATCTTACAAGTGCTTTTCCTAAATATTTTGTATTTCAATATTCATGGTATACAGCAGAAATGCTTTATGGAATACTTCATATTTTGTTGCACAGAATGTTAAAAAGATGTGCCATTCAAAGGTTGAGGTTTAATAAAATTATTTTTACTGCTTCAGTGACATTCTTAAGTGAAACCAGCTTTTTTAAAAAAAAAGGCTGGTGCATGACTGCAAGTATTAGTGACTGCTCGTACACTTGGTGTCACCACCTTGATTCTTCCTGAGGCAAAAGTAGTCTTGCCCACCATTACTTTTGTGTATCAGAGCAAAAGTCAACACAGTGAAAAAAGCAAACAATGTCTTATCCTTTGTTATAAAATAGCTGTAGTCAGTAACCCTTTGAAAAGGTCTTAGAAATCCTGAGGGGCCTGCAGACCACATTTTGAGAACCAGTACCCTGGCTAACCGTTAACACTAAAATTGAGAGGCTCTATAGTAACAGCATTCCACTTACACAATACAATTTTGTCTTTATCAAGTAACACATGGTATGGGAAAAATAAGTTGTAGCTGTGTTCTTAAAATATCTTAGATGTGCTTATTTAATAATCTCATTATATAGTGCTTTTAATACCTGTCAAATTCTTAAATATTTGTCTTCCAGTCATTAAAATGATACTATTTTTGAATTGGTTTTTCTTTGCATATATATGTGTGTGTGTGTGCCTGCGTGTGTTACCTTTGGTATTTTTTTAATTGAGAATAGTTGGTTTACAATATTGTGTTATCTCTGCATTTACATTTTGATAAGACTTGACATAATTTCATAATCTGGGGATGGACAAATTAATAGATAGTAGCAAATTGTTTTAATACACTTAAAAAATCATTTTAGGCAGGCATTCCAGACCCTCCAAATATGTCAGAAGAATTAATCCAATTGAAAGCCAAGGAAAGACACTTTTTGGAGCAATTGTTAGATGGGAAAAAGTTAGAAAATTATAAGATTCCAGTACCAATCAATGCTGAACTCAGAAAATATCAACAGGTAAAGTTTTATACTTATCTTATAAATACTAATTATTCCTTTTAAATGTACCTTGAAGAATTTAAAGATTGATTTAATAATTAAAATTCTTCTGTTTGGTGTCTTGTATCCATTTATTTCTCCCTGCCTGTAAAAATACACTGTGTTTGCTCTTTGTAAACATGTTCTTTACAGAAAAATATTTTTATGATCTGTTCACATTTACCATTTTTCTCTTTCTCCCAACCTTTCAGGATGGTGTGAACTGGTTAGCATTTCTTAATAAGTATAAGCTTCATGGAATTCTGTGTGATGACATGGGTTTAGGGAAGACTTTACAGTCCATCTGTATTCTAGCAGGAGATCACTGTCACAGGTAATTTTAAATGTTATTTTAACAGAAGGCTTTCAGATGCTGAGCAATATAAACAAGCTGGTTAATTCACTGTGTTTTGCTGTTGTAAAGGGCCCAGGAATATGCAAGATCAAAATTGGCAGAATGTATGCCACTTCCTTCCTTGGTGGTTTGTCCACCAACATTAACAGGTCATTGGGTGGATGAAGTAGGTAAATTTTGCTCCAGAGAATATCTCAATCCACTGCATTATACTGGACCTCCTACTGAAAGAATAAGGTAAGAACTGTACAACCAAAAAATGTTTAATCTTTTGCTTTAAGTAGTTTGGAAGAATAAAATTTATTAAAAATGAATTCTAGTTAGCTTTTTTGGTTGTCAGACATAGAAACTTACTTTATTTAAGAAAGGTAAATGAACATAATAAAAATATAATCAGTGAGACTCATCAAAATTTAAGAAGTTTCAAGACTTTCCTAATGGTGTAGTAGCTAAAACTCTGTGCCCCCAGTACAGGGGGCCTGGGTTCAATCCCTGGTTGGTGAACTAGATCCCATGTGCTGTAATTAAAAGCCACAGCTAAAACATGGCATAACCAAATAAATCATAAAATAAATACAAAGTGTAAGGACATTAATTCCTGTCAACAATCAGTTAGGCTCTAAATTTTTGGAGCTAGGAAGCTATCAAGAACCAAAACCGTTCTTGGTGCCTTTCCTAAAACCTTGTGATCATAGCATCTCATAGGTGCTTCTGTTATTTCTTCATTTTCTGTGCACTTTCCCTAAGAGCTACCTCTTCCTTCTTCCCTCTCCCCAAAAGTGCTTTTGGTGCACAGTGGCTTGCTCTAGCTGCCCTGATCCCATAGAACTCTATAGTTCTATTAATACATCTCTGTTCCTAAATACAGATGTTGAAGAGTGGTGTATCATTAATTTCAGTTTGTCTTTTAAAGCTTGGATAGTACCAGATTTCTGATTAGTCTGTAGATTTGCTGCCCTTCTGTGAATTAATAGCTAACATATACTGAGCACTTACTGGTCGGGCATTAGATATTCTAAGCAGTTTTATTTACATTTATGTAATGCCATGTATTCTCTTAATTAGATATGGGTACTATTATTGTTCCCAGTTTGCAGATGGGGAGTCTAAGACATGGGGCCTGGGAAGAATATCTTTCAGCTAATTAAATAGAAGGTCACTAGGTATAATTAAATGAAGTTTTGAACACAGGCAGCTCAAGAGCTTGTACTCTTAAAGAATTTACTGTAAAGGAATTCATCCATTTATAAGTGGTAAAAACTCAGACTAGCTTAAGCAAACAGGAAATTCATCAATTAAACTAAGCATCTTGGGGTGAATTCTTGCTTCAGGCACATCTGAAGTACTGTTCTTCCCCGTGCATAGCTTGTTCTGTTGGTCGCTGCTGGACTTTGGTCTACTGTTGGTGTAGATAAAAGGTCATGGGCAGTCTTAGGCCTGCATTCTCCTAGCTTGGCAACTGTAATGAGCAGAGACTAGCCGGCCTTGATTGCGTCATGTCCTCAAACCAACCTCCATGATTGGGGAATAAAATATTGTGAATGGCTTGATCTGATTAAAATGCTTCACCTCTTTGGTGATTATGGGGACATGTGATTGATGGCTCACGCTCGGCCCCCAGCACAACGTGGAATGATGAAGGAATAGTGCCTCCAAGGAAGAGGTTTTGGCAAATAAAGTTAAAATGACCTTCACATTGTGAGTCAGGTACTTACCCCTTTTCTCATCAGGCTGAATTCGGGCCACATGACCAAGTCGTAAGGAGAATGGCCTTCGGGTAGCAGGGTCATGGATGCAGAGGAAGCAGAAGGGAACATTGGGTTTGGCAGGCAGGTTGAACTCACTTTGTGCAATGGCATCTGTGCTTTCCCCTTTGAAAGCATATTGCAAACTTGGCAGATTCCCCATTTTCTAATCTTACTTATTTTTAAATGCAGGTTACAGCACCAGGTGAAAAGGCACAATCTCATAGTGGCTTCATATGATGTTGTGAGAAATGACATAGATTTCTTTAGGTAAGAATTAAAATTTTTTAAAGGAAAACAGTGTCAAATTCAGAGAGAATTAGTATCTATCTGCCTCAAAGACTCTTTGTATTGTTCCTGACATGTAGTAAAAGATGCTAACATTTTTTGTTTATTCTTCCTTAGAAATATTAAATTTAACTACTGTATTCTTGATGAAGGCCATGTCATCAAAAATGGAAAAACAAAATTGTCAAAAGCAGTAAAACAACTGACTGCTAATTATAGGATTATTCTTTCTGGAACACCAATCCAGGTAATTATTTACCTTTTCTTTACTTGGCATTTGACAGTGAATTAAAGAAGAGGTGTTTTTTTTTTTTTTTTTTTTAGTTTTTGGAATAATTTCCAGTAATTATCTTGCTTTTATAATGGTTCATTTCGTATGTAGCAGTATCTGAGCAAACCAGGTTTTAAATCTCATATTTAAAATGTGATTTTAGGCTTTGGTAGCCCATGAGTCAGGAGGCAAAGCCCAAGTGCAATTAGAAGGGTTTCACTGCAGGAAGGCAACCCACCACAGTGACCCAGAGCTTAAGCAGGGTGAGAAGGGCTTCTGGAAGGGGTAAACAGATAGGATGGTACCTTAGGATCCACACATACTGGGAAAGCATCCAAAATGGGAAAGTGTGGGGTTTTTTTTGGTTTTTGTTTTGTGAAACTCCAAGTAGAATTGGAAAGAACCTGTGCCTTTTCTCATGACCCATAAATATTGGGTAGCCATGACCTATAACCAAACTCTTCTAGGTTTTCCTGTGTTGAATAAAATGGTGATGTTGGCCAAATTTCTTAAATCTTGCTGTTAATCTTAGTCTCAAAAAAAACCAGAAACGTATTCATCTTTCTGCTCTGTTTACTACTTGATAGAACTGACCAAAAAGATTGGTACTGTGCACCAAGGCTTATTGTGGTGGAAAAGACTTGAAAGTTCCTCTAAATAGGAGAGAGTATTTTCTCCAAACTTTACACAATAAAATATAGACTCATATCCAGAAATAGTGATAATCTCTCTCATCTATGTCATTACAGTGGGCTTTCATTAATGTTCCATTTTTAAGTGTAAGGAAATAATCCTAGTACACAAGATAACTGGTGTTCCTTTCTTATATTCAGAACAACGTTTTGGAGCTGTGGTCATTATTTGATTTCCTCATGCCAGGATTTTTGGGGACTGAACGCCAGTTTGCTGCTCGGTATGGTAAACCTATATTAGCAAGTAGGGATGCTCGAAGCTCCAGTCGAGAACAAGAAGCAGGTAGGAAAAAGAGATATCATTATATATTCTATGTAAGTGAATATAATTTATATCTACTTTGGGGGAAGTCATTTAATTTTATTATTAGAGAAATTAATAAGAATAATAAATAGAATAAAATTAATTCTGTTAATAATTATTAACAGGTGTTCTTGCAATGGATGCACTGCACCGCCAGGTCCTGCCATTTCTTTTGAGAAGAATGAAAGAAGATGTTTTACAGGATCTACCACCCAAAATTATTCAAGACTATTACTGTACTCTCAGTCCTCTCCAGGTTAGGAATCTGGTGATTGTGGTTGTTGATGCTGTGTTTATTACTAGAATGCTTTGAATAAGTCACAAAAGTAGTGAGTAAAGGGGTTTAGCCTTTGGTTTTATTGCTCTAATCTAGCTTCTACTTCCTTAGACTTCAGGAATATTCTGTTTCAAACAAGTGTAGATAAAACCTAAACGAATCTGTTTGCATATATAAATACACATTTGGGTTTGTGCATTTTCAACACAGCATTAAAACAAAATCTGTTGTCATAATTGCTTTGTTATATGTCTCAAGTTAATTGAAAAAGTTGGAATGTTAAAATGATAAAGAAGTAAGAAGTAAGCCAGTGATAAAAAAGTAAGCCAGTGTTTTTTAGGGCCAGAAGTCTGCCTGTGATGTCTTTTCCTTACAGCAACATTATAGGTGTATACATCAGGGCTGAGTTGGGAAGTGGGATCTCATCTCTTCTAAAGTATTGCCAGTAAATTTTCAAGAGAAGTATTGGCTTCTGCCCAGTTCTAATTTTGTACATAGAGACCATTGTCAAAGGCGTTTATCATATGCCTTTCCTTGTGTAGTATTTGTGTGTGTGTGTCTGTGTGGTATTTTTGTAAGGGAAAGCTATCTCACGTCTTAGTAAAATATGGCCTATAAACAGAATTTTCTCTTTGAATGTTTACATTGTGTTCTAGGTTAGTAAGCATCAGTCAATTCAGTATCAGATGATTTAGTGTGGTTCAAATGAATAAAAGATACACAGATGTATCTGCAAAATAGCTCCTTTCCCCTCCAGTATATATAGACAGTTAACCTTTAAGTATTTATCTATCCAACTTCAGTTTTGTGGACAAAACATTAATTTAAATGCTAAGAGCTCTGTGATATTATCTACATCATCTCTCGGCCTCTATCCCTTGTTTGTAAAAATCGGGTTAATATTTCTTGAAAGAAAAATTTTTAGAGGTAATGAGATGAAGACTTTAAGTATGATAAAGAAAAGGTGTCATATGAAAAAACCTGAGATATTATAGTGGTATATAACATCAGCATAAAACACATTTAAGTAGTCGGAGGAAGGGAGCTGGAGAGGGAAGTGACATCTGGGTTTGTTTTGCATCTACAGGTTTTTATTCTCTGACTTCTGTTCTTTAGCACTGTAGATTTTCTTCCCTTTCACATCGTTTTAACATATACATGGCAGGAACCCAGACTCTTAAGGAAATACTTTAAACTTGGTGTGGGTTCTGTGGTTAGTATCTTTTTTAAAACTTGGTCTTTTGAAACATACCTGTTAGGGTCTTGACCATGTAGCTTCACTTAAGGAAGATTTCCTCATTTACTTGTAAGGGTTCAGGTTCTCTTTTATCCGTAACTTATTTACCTTCTTGAATAGAGTGGGAAAATTGAATTTAGGATTATTTGACTATTTTTTGAAAAATATTTTAGCAGCTGAACAATGTGTTAAACTTGTTTTCTAAATGTAATTTAAAAGGAATTTACCATGATGCAGTGGATCATCTATATTCAAGTAGGTTGCATAATTTATTTTCTTTGATGAGGGCTGATTTACATTGCTGTTCTTACTGGCCTTTTCTAGTTATGTTTTGAAAAATGGAAAATAAATATACTTACTGCTTTTGTGGGGGAATTTATAGGTTCAACTCTATGAGGATTTTGCTAAGTCTCGTGCCAAGTGTGACGTCGATGAAACAGTTTCTTCAGCTGCACTTTCTGAAGAAACCGAGAAGCCAAAGCTTAAAGCTACAGGTCATGTATTCCAGGTACATGTTACAGCCCCCTTTTTAAATGTTGCTGAAGAATGCGCTTCAGTACAGCAATGTTTATATGAAACACTGAAATATGGGTTTATCTAATTTTTTCAATTTTGTGTATACATTCTTGAAAATATGTAAAAGTGCCAATTAATTTTCATGTTCATAATTAGTAATAGGTAATATTAAAATTAAAGTGAAAACTGCAATGATATTACATGAAGAGTTTTAAAATAGAGAATTTTTGTTTCCTATTCAAAAAATATTTGAATACCTACCATAAGGCAGTAATTTTTCTAACCTCAGGGGTTAATTAAAGCAGTGAACAAGACCCTAGGGGTGAAAAATATAAAAAACATGTATCATGTAAAAGAAAATCAACTATGGGCTTATACAGAATAAGAGTCAGGGTAGGTTGTAGTTTTTCAACAGGGTGATCAGGGATGTCACTGAGAAGGTGACATTTGAGCAAAGATCTGAATGAAGGTTGAGTCATGTAGATGCGTGGGAGGAAATGATTCCAGGCAGAGATATTACATACAGTACGGAAGTCCTGAGACAGATGATGAATGTGCTTGAGAACAAAGAGAAAGTGGCAACTCATTTTTTCTTTCCCTTTTGAAATATTCCACTGTACAATATCTCCCAACCCCCCCCGCCTTGTCAACAAGATATTAAAATACTACAGCATTTTTAAAGATAGAAATGGGAAAAGGCAATTTTGAAAGCTCATACCTCTCCCAGTTTCTATCATAGTGCCCAGCAGTGGAGCTTACTGATGCAAATCTGTGTGCCAAAAATGAGACCCAATCATAGGCCAAGCAAAGGACAAGAGACAAGGGTATGGCTGAGTCAGAGAAAGGAAACAAAGACCTTAGAGGACTCTGATTCTCAAACCCGACTACACAGTCCCGCCTTCCCTTTCCCGCCACCGACCTGCTGAATCAGAGTACTGTGCAGAGGGGAGAGATTCACAGATTTAAGAGGGTCTTGTGTAGTTTTCATACCCACTAAAGTTTGAGGAACCTTCCTTTAGGAAATGATGTCTAATTCTAGAATCATCTAGCAACATTATCAGGCACTTTCAGTTCAAAAGGGTTAGCTATAGGAACTAATAAGACCTTGTGTCATGAGAAGGTCATTGGTCTAGTAGGGAAGATAGACATCACAATACAATTTATATGTTATAAATTCTCTCACAGAAATAAACACAAATTGCACAAGAAGCATAGATGAAGACATGACAGATAAGATATGTGAACTGGTTCTTGAAGTAGTAAGAAGATGAAGAAAGGCATTCTAGACAGATGGAGTAGCACAGGAAAAGACACAGATACAAATATTTGTCGTGTGAAGGAGACTTATATATACTTTTTTCTCTCTTAAAGGCATTACAGTACTTACGTAAACTGTGCAACCATCCAGCATTAGTCTTAACACCTCAGCATCCAGAGTTCAAGAGTACTACTGAAAAACTTGCAGCTCAGAATTCTTCTCTCCATGATATTCAGCATGCCCCTAAACTCTCAGCTTTGAAACAAGTAAGTACATCTTTTAAGTGTTAGATGTATGTTGCACATTCCTGATCTGTAACAGTAGGTAAATTTGCTTTTCCAAAAGATTACTGATGCATTTACCATTTTAAAAAAATATGCTTTGTTAAATTTTTGATAACAGCTTTTTTAAAAATTGTAAAGTATAGCAAATGCCACTTTAACTGTTTTTGAAATGTAGAATTCTGTGGCATTAATTACATTCAGTGTTATGTACCCATTACCACTATTCCAGAATTTTTCCATCATCCAGATAGAAACTGTGTGCCTGTATTTATTTCTGGCTGCACCATGCAGCACACAGGATCTTAGATTGAACCCATGCCCCCTGCATAGGGAGTGAGAAGTCTTAACCACCCAGCTGCCAGAGAAGGCCTGAAACTACCAATTAGCAGTAACTTCCCACTTTCCTTTCCATAACCCTGGGAACTTCTAATCTACTTTGTCTGTATGAATATGCCTGTCTAAATATTTCATGTAAGTGGGATCACATATTTGTTCTTTTGTGATTGGCTAGTTTCACTTATTTTCAAGCTTCCTTCACATCACAGCATGTATCAGTACTTCATTTTTATGGCCAAATAAAAATTCTGTTGTTGCTGTTATTACCACCATGGTGTTGTGGGCTTCCCTGGTAGTTCAGATGATGAAGAATCCACCTGCAGTGCAGGAGACGAGGGTTCCGTCTCTGGTTCAGGACGGTCCCCTGGAGGAGGGCACAGCAACCCAGTCCAGTGTTCTTGCCTAGAGACCCCCCTGGACAGAGGAGCCTGGAGGGCTGTGGTCCGCGGGGTCACAGGCAGACACAGCTGAGCACAGCATGCCAAACCACATTTTGTTTATCCAGTTGTGTGCTGATGGACATGTGGGTGGTTTCCACCTCTGGCAATTGTGGATAATGCCGCAGTGAACATCACCTCATCGGTATCTGAGTTCTTTTAGGTATAGATGTGAGGGAAACTGCTGGGTTACATAGCTAGTCTGTGGTTAACTTTTTGAGGAACTACCAAACCTTTCCACAGTGGCTGTAATGCTTACATTGCAAGCCATGTGCCAGGGTTCTGATTTCTCTACATCCTCACCAAGATTTTCCTTTTCTTAATTTAACCATCACTGTAGGTATGAGATGGTGTCACACTGTTGATTAGTTTTCCCTAATGATTAATAATGGTGTTTTTTTCATGTCCTTATTAAGACATATCTTCTTTGAAGAAATACCTGTTGAAGTCTTTCGACTATTTTTTTCATTGGACTGTTTCTTTTGGTTGAGTTTTAGGAGTTTATATTCTAGATGTTAAGCCTTTATCAGATATGTAATTTGCAGATACTTTCTCCAAGTCTGTGGATTCTTTTCACTTTCCTGATAATGACCTCCATGGCTTCTGATGAGAAAACAGGTGTTAATCTCATTGAGAATCCCTTTCACATGAAGTCACTTCTGGGCATTCCCTGGTGGTCCAGTGGTCAGGACTCGGCACATTCACTGCCAGGGCCTGGGTTTGATCCCTGATCAGGAAACTTAAGATCCCACAAATCATGCAGTGCAGGGGTGGTGGGAGTCACTTTTCCCTTGATGTTTTCAAGATTTCTCTTTTTGTCACTGTGATTATCACTCTGATTATAATGTATGGTCTTGTGGACCATTTGAATTTATTTTTCTAGAAACTGCTTACTCTGCCATTTTACTCATACCACTTGTAGTAACATCATACCACAGATTGTGAGCTCCTTATTGCAAAACTCAGCTTTTAGTTTATCGACCTTTAAAAAAAAAGTCTGTTTTAAAATCTAGACTTCAGTTGTTGTTTTAGCTTTTTATAGCTTTTCTGGCTTAAGTTTTATTGAGAATAACTAATGGATGAAGAGTTTTGATTTCACATGGGCTAGAGTAGAAAATATTACATAATGATAGCCCAAAATGCTAACCTGTTTTTCAGGTCACAGGTAAGTTAACCTTTTCTTACCACAAAGAGAAGCATTTATTTCAGTGAGATTGATTGCCTTCTTTTATGGGACACCTGTATATAACAAGTGATTCTTTCTTCAGTTGCTGTTGGACTGTGGTTTGGGAAATGGCAGTACTTCCGAGAGTGGCACAGAGTCTGTAGTAGCCCAGCACAGGATACTGATCTTCTGTCAACTTAAAAGCATGCTTGATATAGTAGAACATGATCTTCTCAAACCTCATTTACCCTCTGTCACTTACTTGAGGTTGGATGGTAGCATACCTCCTGGTCAGAGGCATTCCATTGTTTCACGGTAAGTGTATTACAATTACTTACATAGAAGTTTGCCCACGAACTACTCTGACTAAATATCTGAAAATGTGTTTTACTATTATATAATTCAACCCAACTAAATCTTTACCCTTTTAAAATACAGAACTGCAGAAATGTAATTGAGTAGTTTGTTTAGCTAGGGGGAAAGAACTGTATTAGGAAAGCATCCTTAAGGGCATGAAAGAAGTTTAAGGCATCAAAACAGAGAGGTAACTATTTCCCCTTCATCTGTATTTGGTGGTTGGGGGTAAGAGGTGGCAAACAGGTGGCTTAACTATGCTCTTTCCTCATCTCTCCATCTGCACTGAGAACGCGTTGGAAGCTGGCCTGGCTTGGAAGCAGTCTCCGAGTGCAGTGTTTCTTATGTGTGGTCTGCTTTCGAAATCTCAGTGGTTTATTGTTTAAAATGCAGATTCCTAGGACCTGTCATGCAGGCTGCTGACTTCAAAGCATTTTTAACAGGCATTCCTAAGAGATCTTAAGGCACAAAACAGACCTATGAAGGAACTTAAATCCCAGGTTTGACTCCAAACTCCACCATCAAAGCAGTGTTCTCTTGAGCACTAATGTTTATTATCCACACAGCCTGGATCTCTTTGAAATAGTAATATCCTTATAGAGCTACTGTAACAAATAATGTAAAGCATATAAAGTAAAGCCCAGTGTTTGTCTCAGAGTCAGTAATAAATGATAGCTCTGTAATGTTAGTTTTTCTTTTTCCTAGAAGCTACTACATGTCCTTTGTCAATATCTTCTAGGGCTAGTATGATTTTAGCAACCCTTACCACCCTAATCTTCTGCCTTCCCTGACTGATCTGACCTTTTCCCACACTATTCTGTCTCCATATGTTAAAAAGATTCATAGTTGGGTTTTGTCTTAGTGTTCCATTTTTGAAAATTACTCAAGTACATTTTGCAATTGGACTTAATTGCTAGGTATGAAATTTCTAACATGTTCTAGAATACCTTTTTTCTACTACTAAAGATGTGTATATTTAAAAGAAGGTAGTCTCGGCTCTAGTGGTCACAGAAATGGCTATATCATGGATTTATAAAGCAATGTTCTTATTTGTGCTCTTTAATATTAAACTTTAAAGTGTCTATTATTAGAACTTTAGGAAGCAATGTACTAATTTTATTTTTTAATATCTATGTTTTTAGGTTTAACAATGATCCATCCATAGATGTTCTTTTACTTACAACTCATGTTGGTGGCCTGGGGCTTAACTTAACAGGCGCTGATACAGTGGTATTTGTGGAGCATGACTGGAATCCCATGCGTGATCTACAAGCCATGGACCGAGCCCATCGCATTGGGCAGGTAAAAAGTCAACACTCCCAGGTGTTAACTTGCACACTGGGAAAAATACTTCCCCCAAAAGACAAAGTCTTGGTTTAAGTTCCTATTTTTATGTTAATAAGTGTTGTGACATTAGGCAAGTCACTTAATTTTGTTGCACGACTTCCTCACACATTAAATGAGGTGCTTGGGCCAAGAAAACCTGGGATACTATCCATTCCTAATATTCTGTGATTGCAAACATTTTAAGGTCTTGGGCACAGATTTTTAAAAAAACCTGCAATCCTAATTCATTAGTAGTCAAGTATCATACAAAGCCCTCTGATTTGGTAAATCTCAAAGCTTATCCATTTATTGTGCTACAGTTGCTTTTTTTTCTCACTCAGAAACGTGTGGTTAATGTATACCGATTGATAACCAGAGGAACACTGGAAGAGAAAATAATGGGTTTGCAGAAATTCAAGATGAACATTGCAAATACTGTTATTAGCCAAGAGAACTCTAGTTTGCAGAGTATGGGGACAGATCAACTCCTTGATCTGTTTACTCTTGATAAGGTAAAGAACTTATACAACTTTTGTATTTATAATATGTGTTCGCAGACTTCCTGGCACTACTTGGTAAAAGTATTAAAGGGGGCAGCAAAGGTGTTCACTTTAGTATCAACTAGATAACCCTTTGAGGGCATTTTTGATGCCCAGATAAAACTCTCAGGTACTAGGGGATGTTCGAAGTTTATACTTTCTGATTGATGGCTCTAGTGTGCTGCCTGGGTTTTCTTTCCTTAGCTGTCCTTTAGTGGGTAGGAACTATCTCGAGTCAGCTAGACCTGACTCTCCATTCCTTGCCCTGCCTATTAACTGGTGACTTAAAGCAAATTAACTTCTCTGAGCATCTTCAGCCTTGGCAGGATAACAATGCCTATATTACCACAAAGGTATGAAGATAATGGGTATTTTTGTTATTGTGGATGACAGAACTAATAGATAACAATCCATTAGCAAAGAATGCACCAGCTGGAAATACTGTCAGTTTAATAATGTAAAATGAATAGGGTTGATTTCAAGTCCTGTGTAGGTTCAGAAAATCAATTGTACACTCAGTATAAATTATGGTAAGAGATGGCTTTATATAATGCAGTTAAACCAGCTGTAATAACAGGGTTATCACGTCAAAATTTTAGAGAAAGTAGTTCCCCTCTGTATATTAAGCCACGTTTAGAATATTATGTCTGATTCTGGGTGTGGCAGTAACAAATTAGTCCCCAAAAGGTGGCCAGAATGGAGAAAGGTTCCTTAAGCATGTCATGTAAGATAAGGTAGAGAGAACAAGATCTGTGTAACCTAGAAAAAAGGCTCAAAAAAACATGGGTTGCTTCAAATGTATTTTTATTTCATTAGAATGTTCTTATGGGTGACTTCTTTCAGCGAGCAGAATTGGGCTCAAGGGGTCTTCCAGGGAAGCAAGAGCTGTTGCCATAAACAATCTTACTAGCAAAATCTGAATATATGAGGTCATCTTGATTTTTGTACTTTGTACTCTGGTTATATAAGAATGTCCTTGTTCTTGGGGTAAAGGGGCATAAATAATATCTACAACTTACTCTGCATTGGTTTGGGGAAAGGCTGATAATTTACATATCTAGTTTTGTAATCTGTATACAGGGAGGAAGAATGATAGAGCCCAGTGTGACACAGATAACAATGAGTTCTTTGCAATGTTCTTAAAATTCTTCTCAAATAAAAAGCATAAAACAGTAAATTATTAGGGCAGTGGAAAACAGAATAGGCTATCTTACGAGATCATGAGCTTCCCCATAGTTTGAAGTGTTTTTAACTCAGCTGAAAGTGCAGTGTTAGAAAAAACTGTGGTATTTTAAAGAAAAATAAAATTTTTGAAATCTTCCATTTTCTCTTTCTTCCAATTAAAGGATGGCAAAGCAGAAAAAGCTGACACTTCTACGTCTGGAAAAACAAGTATGAGATCAATTCTTGAAAACCTGAGTGATCTTTGGGATCAAGAGCAGTATGATTCAGAGTACAGCCTGGAAAATTTTATGCATTCTCTCAAATAACTATCAAATATTGTAAATGCAATTGCTGCTAGTTCAGTAACATTTCTGCTGATATTCAGCAAATTTCAAAGTTTATGGTGAACTTTTAGCTCAATTTGTAAATAGATCTGAAGAATATTCAGCATAACGCTGGTCCTTGTTTCACTGGGGGGAACAAGTTATTCTCAAACGTTTGCACTGTATTAAATTTAAATGTTAATGTGAAAAATGGTTTAAATTTTACATGCTGAATAGCTGCAGAGCAGAGGCACCAAACCAGGTTTACATGTGCCACCGCGGGCTGTTCTTACGGGGAAGGCGCCTCCGACCTTTGCATAGTCACACTTTGTATAGGAGAATATCCACGAGTACTTTAGTCTTCATGTACATTTTTTCTTTTAAATAGAACTTGTTTTTTATAAATGATTAAAAACTAGGGCTTTTTTTTTTATAAAAGCCTTAATGAGCCATAATTTTAAGAATAATGACTACAATTATTGGTAATGCTTGGAACATGAGAATCTTAGAATGAATTGAACCAGGCCCTTGGTGGAAACGTTTATATATTTAATGCAGAGGCATAGTGTTTTTCAAATCTTTAACATCATTTTGTCAACTTTTAAAATATTATCAACTATTCTAAATACAGGTAATGTTCTATTTAAGCCTATCATAACATCCTGTTAAGAGGGTGTTTTTTTAATTTATCTAAGGGCTAGGATATAGCCAGATTCAGAGAACATATGTACTCAATAGGTTTCAATCATATATATAATATATTTTTTGTAACTATGAACATATACAGTTTTCCAGAAGTAGATTTTACACTGTTTAGAATTTCAAAACCTATGGTGAAAAGACTGTTTATTGTAGTAATGCATGACTGAAGCATAAAAGGGAGAAGTGATTCCTTTATATACACAGACATACATCAATACACATATCTATATGCACAGGCATACCTGTCCTGCATCTGAAAAGGTGCTTGGTATTAGCACTAAAATCATGTAGTTATACTGGGCAGCAATAATTGGGCATGAAGCTGATTAGTGTTAGAAAAGTGAGCTCAATAGCAAGGGTGGGTATATGTATATAGATATGCATGTATGTGTATGTATATAATTTTATAAATTTCACACATAAATTAATACATGCCTGTGTGCATATAAATATGTATGGATATATTTGTATATACATGTACAGGAAATAGACATCCCCCAGGTTTGTGGCTGGCCATACACATAGGCATCGGTTTAAAAACCATCAGACCTCAGCTGTAAAGTAACTTTGTTTAAAGTTATACTGTTCTGCAGCATTTAGACATGGACATGTGTCACATTTCAGTAGCTTTGACAACCATACTGTAACATTAAACATAGCATTCCACAAGAGAATAAAAAAAAGATTTAACTGTAAAATATGTGTAACTGTGTGTTATTTGTAGGAAATGATCACTAGAAAAAGCAAAAGATTAGATACATCCGAAAAAAAAAGAAAAACATCTTTTTTCTTTCTAATGGTTATTTTTTTCATTATTGAGAATTTATGTCAAATTCAATAGAAGACCAAAAGGAAATTCTTGACTTTATACAGAACATCCATTCTATATAGCACACAGTAAAGCTATTTGGGAATGTGACCACTTAGAGGCAAAGTGGGGAGACTATAAGAACATAACAGAAATTACAGAAAAATTAAAAGCACTGTTCCAGATACTTAATCTCAGTACAATCTTACATGTCCTGATTAAAGACAGACCTCCCTCAATATCCCAGAACACTTGCTGGCATCAGTGGAATCTAAGTGAAATTGACTATAGGAGCATGTGTTAAGTGCCAGAGTAGACAATGTGAGGCTATAAAGCAAAAACTTGAGTTGTGCCAATTAACAGAAAATACTTGCCATCCAACAAGTCAGTGTCATGCATCAAAAACTGCATCTTGGGACTTACCTGCTGGTCCAGTGGGAAAACTGGACAGCCACATGAAGAAGAATGATATTAGAACACTCCATAATACCACAAACAGAAATAAACTCTGAATGGATTAAAGACCTGAATGTAAGGCCAGACACTATAAAACTCTTAAAGGAAACCATAGGCAGAACACTCTGTGATATAAATCACAGCAAGATCTTTTTTGACCCACTTAAGCATAATGAAAATAAAAACAAAAATAAATAGGACCTAATTAAACTTAAAACCTTTTGCACAGCAAAGGAAACTATAAGACAAAAAGACAACCCTCAGAATGGGAGATAATATTTGCAAACAAAGCAACTGACAAACGATTAATCTCTAAAATATACAAGCAATTCATGCAGCTCAATATAAAAAAAAAAAAAAATGGGTGGAAGACCTAACTCAACATTTCTCCAAAGACGACATACTGATGGTCAACAAACATGAAAAGATGCTCTACATTGCTAATTTTTAGGGAAATGCAAATCAAAACTACAATGAGGTATCACCTCACACTGGGTAGAATAGTCATCATTAATAGTCATCATCAAAAAGTCTACAAACTAAATGGTGGAGAGGGTAAGGAGAGAAGGGAACCTCCTTAGTGGGACTGTAAATTGATGGAAAACAGTATGGAGGTTCCTTAAAAAATTAAAAATAGAACTACCATATGAACCAGCAATCTGTAACTACTGGGCATATACACAGAGAAAACTAGAATTGAACAAGACACAGGTATGCCAATGTTCACTGTAACAGTATTTACAGTAGTCAGGACATGGTAGCAACCTAAATGTCCGTAAACAGAGGAAAGGATAAAGATGTGCATTTATATAATGGGATATCACTCAGCCATAAAAAAGGAACAAAACTGGGTCATTTATAGAGACATGGATGGACCTAGAGAGTGTCATGCATGGTGAAGTCAGAAAAACATGCTGTATGTTAACACATATATGTGGAGTCCAGAAAAATGGTACAGATGATCTTATCTGCAAAGCAGAAAGAGAGATGTAGAGAACGAATATACAGATGCCGAGGGGGAGGGGAGGCACCGGGAGATTGGGGTTGGCACACACACTACTGATTGCTGTTGTCGTCGTTCAGTCGCCAAGTCTTGTCTCACTCTTGTGACTCCATAAACTGTGGACTGACAGACTCCTCTGTCCATGGGATTTCCCAGGCAAGAATACTGGAATGGGTTGCCATTTCCTGCTCCAGGGGATGTTCCCGACACCAGGTATCAAACCTGAGTCTCCTGCATTGCAGGCAAATTATCACTGAGCCACCAGGGAAGCCTACTGATACTATGTATAAAACAGATAACTGATGAGAACCTACTGCATAGCACAGGGAACCTACTGAATGCTCTCTGGTGACTAGGATGGGAAGGAAATCCAGAGGGGAGGGGAGGGTATATATATATATATATATATATGGCTAGTTTATTTTGTTGTACAGTAGAAATTAACATTGTAAAGCAACTATACTTCAATAAGAATTTTTAAAAGTTGCCTCCTGAGACTTCTTGGTGGTCCAGTGGCTAAGACTCTGCACATTCAATGATGGGCCCAGATTTGATTCCTGGTCAGAGAACTGGATCCCACATGCTGCAACTAATGGTTCTGCATGCCACAGTGAAGATCCAGTGCAACCAAATGTGTTTTAAAATTGCCTCCTGTTTCAAGAAGGGGTTCCTACCAATCTCTGATAAATTCCCTCCAACCAGTGAAGTTCTGTTAAAGAATATAGAGGCTGAGATCCTATTATCTGTGTAGGGGCAAGAGCCATGGTTTCTGGCTTACAGGAGAAAGAGGAACTATAACTTAATTCTCTCCATAAAGCCTCAGAGAGTTCATGTATTGAAACACAACAGGCAGAACTGTCCGTGACCCAAAATCCCTATGAGATCCAAGAGAAATCAGAATCCCAGAATACCTGCGCCACAGGTAAGCTTAAGGCTGGGTTTATGCTAAGCATATAGCTGTAGGAACCACAAGCCAAAAAATAACCAATCAACTCTAGGACCCTTGCAGAAGCAAATACAAAATTGCCCTGTACGAGCAGTTTCAGATAGGGTCCCATAGGATTACCATGGGGGGAAGATTCTAAGATTACGCTCACACACAATCTACAGCAGGCCATGAACTACCAGGAGGAAGAGTCAGCAGATGCAAATAGGAGAATTCATTATTTACAAACTGCAAAGAGAATAGTCTGAAAGACCATAAAATAATAATTAGATATGAAAATATAGAACACATTATTTGAAAGTTAAACAAATTAAAAAATTTTTCTTTTATACTGGGGTGTGGCCAATTAACAATGTGATGTTTTGAGGAGTACAGCAAAAGGGCTGGGGCTTCCCTGGTGGCTCAGCTGGTAAGGAATCCACCTGCAATGCAGGAGACCTGGGTTTGATCCCTGGGATGGGAAGATCCCCTGGAGAAGGGAAAGGCTACCCACTCCAGTATTTTGGCCTGGAGAATCCCATGTACAGAGGAGCGTGGTGGGCTACAGTCCATGGGGTCGCAAAAAGTCGGACACAACTGAGCAACTTTCACTCACTCATTTGCTCACTCACAGCAAAAGGGCTCAGCCATACATATAACAACATGTATCCATTCTCCCTCAAACTCCCCTCCCATCCAGGCTGCCATATAACATTGAGCAAAGTTCCATGTACTATACGGTAGGTCCTTGTTGGTTATCCATTTTAAATAGCAGTGTGTACATGTCTATCCCAAACTCCCTAACTTTCTCTTGCCCCATCCTTCCCACTGGCAACCACAAGTTTGTTCTGTTAAGTCTGTGAGTCTGTTTCTATTTTGTAAATAAGTTCATTTTTATCCTTTCTTTTTAGGTTCCACATATAAGGGATGTCATTCGACATTTCTCTTTAACTTCACTCAGTATGACAATCTCTGGGTCCATCTATGGTTCTGCAAATAGATGTTGCAAACTTTCTATCTTATTAAAAGCTAGGCAAATCTGAAACAGATTCATAAATGAAAAAAAAATTACTGGAGTTCAAAATTTTGGATGGTTATCAATGGAGATT